ATGCCACACAAGCCATAAGCACATTCAAGAAAGCCTGAAACTCTTTGACTCGATAGATGGAATGCCATTTGTGTGGGGGCAAGATCTTGGGAAGCCAGAGGAATCATCCCTGTTGAGTGTCCAACCAGTGGCAACAATCAATGGAAGATGCCTACAAACGTTACATGCTTGAGGTCTCTCACCAACCAGCGAGTGCGGTAGCGAGCAAAATATGCAACACCTCATGCAGTGCAGCCTAGCACCGCAATGCTCAGATCATGATCTAGCAGAGCCCAGCTACAACGCCATCAGTTGTGCTACACACTGGAAATATGTAATATAAGATCGTAGGACACGAAGAAGAAGACTAATGTATCTAGCACAAACAATGCAGAACAAACTGCTGAAATACATGTAGTTACATATAATTGAGGCTGTCACATAGTGTTGGGCGATGTGGTCATTTTTCAAATCGTCATATCGCCAGCCACGTGAGATCGCCAATACACGATATTATCGTGAGTGGGGGCAAGAGAGAGAATCTCTGTACTTGTCATAGGTTATTTCATAACTACGTGTGTTTTAAACCGCGTGGGCGTGTGAGAGAGAGCCCATGAAAGCACCAATAATCAAAATATTTTACTATCAAGCATACTGATAAACTTACATGTTAAATATAAAAATATTTAAAACTGCTAGTTCATATATATTCGGATACAACAGTCATACATGGCTATTAGAACCGCGCGTCCTGTGACAAGTTTGCCGCATCTGCGCACGGACGTTATCAGTCTTAAAGGTCTGGAAAATCAGTCAATGGTGAAAATCAAAAGTAGAGTTTAACAGTTTAACACTAAATATTGGACAGAAATGAACACGTTAAATATGAAAGTATTTAAAATGAAATGGGTAAGTTCATATATTTGGAGTAAAGTTAAATTAAACGGACGTCAGTCATACAGAGCTCCGGACCGCGCGCCCCATGACGAGCCCGACGCACCGCCACAGAAACAAGGATAAGATGCGTTCTAACATAACTGCGGCTTTAAACTCGGTTAGTGAGGGCTCGGTTAAAATATAGGCCGTTCAGATTACTTGTTAAGTGCAATATCTTATATCAGCAGACGATGTACGTCTGTGTTTGGACACTCCACGGCACATCACAGCAGAGCTCGTTAGCATTTAAAGGGAAATAGACTAAAACGGTTTGCTGAAAACAGAGCTGATTTTGACAGGGTAAAAAGGGTGTTTTTTACACTACCGTTTAGAAATTTTAACCAAAATATGTTATAGACTTTTCATTAAGACCCTAAATAATCATATCAACTTGTGGAAAATGGGCATCCGATAACCCCTTTAAACCAGAGAAGGTTTGACATGAAACATGTTGGTATTCTTGTGGGGGAAAAACATGCAAGCACTGTCACTGACAGCAAGTGTAGTTTTACTTTTCTTTTTGTTTTCATTTTGAAAAGCTTGTTATCTTTGCTGTTTACCTCACATTACGCTATGGAGGCTCTCTTTTATTTTTTTTTATTTGATTCCTCAGTGTTTGCTAAACGTTCAGTAATTTGTTAGTCGGTATATAATACAACATGTGGTGTAAGCCATGCCTCATCTTATTCGTTTTTGTTAATAAACGTTTTGTAAGCTAGTTTGTCATTGTATCTTACTGTTTTATTGTTGTTGTGCTTTTTAATTAAGAATAACAATGAATCCATCTTTTGTTTTAGTCTTAAAAAGTGAAAGGTGTGTAGATGTATGCAAGCAAAACAGACAATTCTCTTTTCTTGTAAAATGTTTATAACAAGATCGCCAATTCGAAAGTGAAAGCACCCGAAGCCCGGCTTATAACATAGCAAAAGAGGAACTTCCGTTCACAAAATTCAAATCACAAGTAATACTGATGAAAAAGAACGGGTTGAATGTTGACCACTTTCATTTCCATATAACTATAAACTATGATAAAAGCATGCATTGACTAATCGCATGTTGTAGCGCAAAAAAATTAAAATAAATATTGCAACCAAATCATGTGCTTGTGCGACCAACTGAGAAAGTTAGTCGCAAAAGAGCGAACAGTGGGAAGAATGAGTCTGGAGCCCTGAATATATCACTAGGTGCCATTCATACAGAATGTGCTTTTTTGTTGACAAAGATGCGACGCGGGCAGTGGAATAGAAAAAAATGCAGAAAGATGGGGGTTGAACTTCTTTTAACTTGAGCGCCGCATTTTTAGAATGCTGATTCATGCATGAAACGCTGCAAGAGACGCGAGCGCAATTCAAGTGCGTCCATGTTCCCATAGAAAAAAACAATGGAAAAGCAGTGCAATCGAATGAAAACCTGTAAAGAACCTACTACTGTATGTATGATATTTCATGTTTGCATCATGGTGATGGTGTTCATTGTTTTTACAGAACATTTATAGTTAATTATAGTCTACTGGTGTGTTATACCTTCAGTCATTTTGAATTTGAATTACCTTGACTTTTGAGATTTTTTTTTTTTAAAGAATTTTCCTCATATTATTTCTGAACACACAATATATATAAGACAAGTTTGTACAAGATGCAGTTGTAGTCCATGCATCTTTTCTGCAAGGATATTTAACAAGTGATTTATTTAACATGTACATCATGTTGACAACATCATGTTGACAACTTCTATAATTTTTTTTAACTAGAGGGTTAATAAAGAAAAAGTTACTTGAATCATGTTGTAGTTACATTTTCAAGTTGACTTGTTAAGAATCGGTCAAACGTTCTGAAAAAATCAGGTCGTGAAGTAGGGATGCACGATATTGGATTTTTGCCGATATCCGATACCGATATATTTCCTTTTGTTTGGAAACAACACCAACTCTCTCCTGTGTGGAAATTATAAGCAAATTATTTTTAATTTTGGTTAGTTTTTAATAAGAACTTATTTGTTAGAATTAAATAAATAATAATTAAGTTATTTTATAATAACAGGACATTGAAGCTTTGAAAATAACTTATTGGATTTTTGCCGATATCCGATATGCTGATAATTTTCAATTAATTTTGGCCAATAGCTAATGCCGATACTGATATATAATTATTTTAATTTTGGTTAGTTTTTAATAAGAACTTATTTGTTAGAATTAAATAAATAATAATTAAGTTATTTTATAATAACAGGACATTGAAGCTTTGAAAATAACTATAAATAAACTATATATAAATCGCTGCATTTTTTTTCTCAGAAAGATGCAATAGTAACCTTAACAATTTATTTGAAGAATTAACATTTGTAGATAGTCTAAAGCAAAAGAGTTGTAAAAATTCTGAAAATCTTTTAGAGCTCATAATTTGTTTAAAAAATATAACATTACACTAATAAATAAATCAGTATATATAAAATTATTTAATTTACAAGTGTCGTGTTTGTGATTTTTTTTTTTATTCATGTAAGCTATAGCTTCTGACCTTTTAATCAAAACATACTCATGATTTTATGACATCAATTACTGCTTTATTTAATCAGAAACTAAATCAGAAAATATTATTTGTGTATTGTACTTTCGTTTTATTAAAAGTAGGCCTACGGAATTAAAACTTCTTACCGAGTGGGCGTTAGGACCCGGGGGAGGCTGCTGCTGCACGTGCTATTACTGTTTACTCTATCACATGCCAAATGCGTCATTCTATACTTGCATTCTCAGTTTAAATGCAGCGATCCAAAACAGTGAATCTAATCATCATTCAGGCAAAACTTTGCTTCAAAAATGAGTCACACTGCTGACGTGATCTAATCGCTAGCACACCCAAAGCGCATATGAGTTAACCTATTCCTCTTATCGGCAAGACATATCGGCATCATTTTTCATATCGGGCTGATGCTGATATTTACATTTAAAGCCATTATCGGCCGATTCCGATATTGGTCCAATAATATAGTGCATCCCTATCGTGAAGTACCTATTCAGAGACTACATGATTTTGGACACATCCAATGTGTCGTCTTTGTTTCTGTTTTATGATGGATGGCAACCAGCATTAAGGTGTAGGTATGCTGCTAACTACTAAGGTGGAGTGTCAGCCAGATAGTTACTGCCGCTGGATTGTGTGTGGTATTAACGTGATATCAATGTTTCCTTTTTTAAATATCACAGTTATCTGCAACACTCCTACAGTATACAAAATCAGATCCATGCTGATATTTGCTTTAAATCCCCAACTCTTAAGTTTGAGCTGTAGTAATAGGGATACTTGCCTTAGCAAGCAGCAGTAATGATGGAGTGTGTGTGTTTTGAAGGGAACTGGAGCATCTGCAGCTGTGTGTGTGTATTTTTGTCTGTGAGAGCGAGACAGTTTGAGATTGTTATGGAGCAGCTGCAGGCTATCTTGGAGTGGATGAGGGGTTACTGGGTTATTGGGCTTTGTTGAGCATTAAAGCCTCTCATTTGCTTTTAGTTCCCAAACTGTGGCGTCCTGCCTGCTTTCTGCCAGCAGCTCAGCATCTCTTCAAACGTTCTGAGTTTAAACCATCTAAGCAGCTGCTGGCTCTGGCCACTAGGCTATATCTGATATGAACTAGGGATGCACGATATATCGGCCACCATATCGGTATCGGCCGATAAATGCTCATTTTTTCTGTTATCGGCCTGATAAGAAAATTTGGCCGATATCTTAAAGCCGATAAATAATGCATTATTTCCTTCAGAGACACTTCAGATGCGCGCTGTTCGTTTGCAGCCTTTTGTGCAATTGTACGTTGTAATATTGTGTTTATTTGATGTATATCTGATTTATCTCATATTGAATGCGTTTGGTTAAGTTAAAAAGAGCGCTTCAGTTTACCAGAGCAATCGGTTATCGTATCGGCCAAAATTTTCATATCGGTGCATCCCTAATATGAACCCATCATGCTGTCTGTGTCTGATTCGTTGTGATCTTGACCATCTTTATGATATTTTGTCATTGTATGTGAGCTCCTGATGTGACTGTATGAAATCAAGTAAATATAATAAATGTCCCTTTCTGTGTCTCTCACAGGACAGTAGCGTCTGAGGTCAGGAAGCAGGTTTCCCGGGAATATGGCTCTCCACAACTGTCCAAAAAACGTGCTGGAGCTCATCAGCCGGTTAGTGTGTAGTTGTGTTTATTCATGTATATTTCTGCTTGTCTGCACACAGTCTTGTGGGCTCCTGCCAGGTCTTGAGTAAGACTGAGGGCGTAATTTAACACTTTGGATAGTACTTGCTTTGAAAACAAACCGGGGTGCAAGACTTTTATACGCACTTCTGGTACTGATACTATATTAGATACTCTTGTTCTCCTGAAATTTAGCAGGACTAAATTTAATATATAAATATTTACAATGTCACATGCATTTCCACTGGTGAGGTTTCACATTAAGAAACAAAAACGATTTAAGGGATATAACGTGGTCCAAAAATGTATTTAGATATACTTAAAAATACATTATATTCAAATGTTTGGGGTCAGAATGTTTTTTGTTTGTTTGTTTTTTAGATGCATTAAATTAGACATTTATAAAGACATTTATAATATTACAAAATATTTCTATATCAAATAAATGGTGTTTCGTCGTGTTTGCAAAAATACTAAGCAGCACAACCGTTCTCAAAAAATCAGCATATTAAAAAAGTTTTTCTGAAGGATCATGTGAGTAATGATGCTGAAAATTCAGCTTTGCATCACAGGAATAAATCACATTTTAAAATATATTCAAATAGAATAAATTGAAATAATATTTTGCAATATTAAGGTTTTTACTGTAATTTTAATCAAATGTGCTTTGGTGAGCATAAGAGACTTCCTTCCAAAACATTAAAAACAGACCTCAAACATTTCAATGGTAATATGTCCTAGTGGCATCTATTTGAAGAAAAAAAAAGCACAACACAAGTATGCTTCTCAAGCAAAGCGTTCACATTTCTTTAGGTTTCAAATGTAAAAAAAATAGTTGTACTGTTCAAAATGAAAACAAAAGTATTTGCTTTCGTAAAAAAAAGTATTCTTGTTGTCAGAGTGTATAATGTTTATAGTTAATGTGATTATTTCCACCTGTGTTTATACCTGTTTGGACACGTGTGAAGCTGAGTAGAAATGACTTCATACAGTCAACAGAAAATCACCTTCACACCAGTTGATCAGAGGTCACAGAGTCAAGAATGGCTCTGAAAAGTTAGTTTCTGAGAAAAGGACTTGCACAGTGTGTTTGTAAATGCCAGTCGGTTGGATGTTTTATATCTAATGCAATATGACATTTTGAAGTGTGACCAAAGTGCCCAAATCATTTTTGGGACCTCTGTATATATGTGATTATAGATAGGAGTGAAAAGGGGAAGAGGAAATGACCACAAGCCACAATCACTTCCCTTTCTTTTCCCCAACACAAGGTTATTTTGAAGTTTTCCTGTACCCTTTTTGTATATGCAGTGCTGGTAACTGCGAAACTATAACTTAATAAGCTGCAAGCGTCTCATTTTGTAGAGTAGTTAAAATGCAGTCAAACATCCATATTGAAAAATCATTAGCTACACTACATTTTACAAACAGCTTGTAGATAACTGCACTGAAACTATGTAGTAATTGTACTATGAAAATTATTGAGCAAGGATGCAGACATTTATAATGTTACAAATAATTTATCAAATAAATGCTGTTCTTTTGAACTTTCAGTTCATCAAAGAATACTGATTGAAGTTTTAATTGAATTTGATAAAAATATTAAAGTAAACAAATCTTCAGATGATGAAGTTTAATGGTGTTGAAATTACACTAGTAAAAATTATTATCATTTCTTAGACCTACAGGTATTCATTTTGAATACCTGTGTCATTTTGCTTGAATTTTCAATGTGAGTCCTGTGGTGACACATGTACTCTTCTAGGTGCCTCTGACGGAGGTGGTGGAGCCAGTGGACTATGAGGAGTATGTTAGCAGCCATCCGCCAGGAGCGGAGCCCGGACCTCTCCGACAGCTGTTGGAGTTCCCCAGCGATGATCTGGAGCTGCTGCTGCAGGAGAGAGAGTGCGCCACGATAGAGCCGCCCGTCCCGGAGGAGGAGTGAGTCGCTCATCGCACACACAAACAAACACACACGCCACACTATAATGAACCTTGCCCTTCCTCACGCCCTCACTGCTAGTCAGGTAATCTCATCATCTTGCTTAAGCCATGCTGTGCTGCCTGTAAGTGCACTGAGGGTATCTGGGGGTTTGACGTCATCTCTTTTTGCACTCACTGTTGATAGCTCACTGGACCCCAGAGTGAGAGATGCCCTGGGGGTCTACACCGACGACTGGCTTATCATCCAGAGGAAGTGAGTATTCCTCCTTCTACATGAGCTTCGACTAAAAGAAATACACATACAGTACCAGTCGAAAGTTTGGACCTACTTTTTTATTTTTATTTTAGAGTAATAGTAAAACCATCTGAATTGTTCTCTCAATAAGCTTACTGAGGTGCATCCTGGGATGTTTCACACAGATACAGTTTATGTTGTGTACAAAACTAATTTGAATAATAAAAGAGGTCTTGCTTAAAAGCCTTTAAACTAAAAGGTTTCAGTTTCATAATAAGCATCATTTGAGTGCGTCTCTGTGAGATGATGCTTTGACTGGTAGTGTACAGCATAAATGCTTACTGGGGGACAAGTTAAGTAGAAAGTAGAAACATGCTGCTTTGTGGTCTCTCAGATATCAGCGATACAGCACAGCACAGACGCCTCATAACTCTGAGCGGCAGCGGGAGAAACAGAGAGGACTTGTCAAGCAAACCTTTGAGCTGGATGAGGCCGCCATTGATCGTCAGGATGAGCAGGTAACTGTCTGACAAGTAAAACACTAAACGCACGCAGTACATAGAATCACACTTGTGGTTGGAGATGTGGCCTAATGTTGATACATTGAGCCATGGGCGACACAGGCTTGTGACATTTTCCAGTCGCATTCACTCTTCTTCTCCCAATCATTTACTGTCATAGCTGCGACTATATGTATAAGTGGTTTAAAAAAGTGCCTAAAATAATAATAAAAATCTCAACTGAACAAAGTCTCTCAAGCTATTCTGTTTTATTAAATCTAAATAAATTGATAAATATATAAATGGATAAATGATCATTACAAAATAATAATAAATAAAATCCTCAAGTAAGCAAAAAGTCTTAAACTAATTTATTTTTTTGAATTTCATTTTCATAGTTATTATTTAATTAAATGGAATGTTATACTCGTGAATTGCATAGAAAAATGATCATATTAGCACTTTTTACATTTTGTCTATTGTTAAATGAAAGAATGTTAGTAATGAAACACCTAAATGGATAAATGATAATTATGGGCTTTGAAAAATAATAAATGGCTTTGTAATGGTTATATTTTAGTCTATTATTTACAATCAAACTTTACATTTACAAAGTGACAAATAGGCAGTAAATAATAATAAAAATCCTTGAGTGAGCAAAAAGTCTCAAACAAATTTTATTTTAATATTTATTTCATTGCATTTATTATTTAATTAAAGTGAATGTTATAAGTCAAACCTGAAATTGTCTGGATAAATTATCATATGAACAAAGTCTCTCAAACTATTTTGTTTTATTATTTGATTTTCTAAATTATTTATTATTAAAATTAAAGGATGTTATCATTAAAAAATGAGAAAATACCCGTATAACTGATCATTATGGTCTTTGAGAAATAATGAATGGTTGTAAATACAATATTTTATTTTATTGTTTTGAATGTAAATAGGTTAAAAGGCTAGTTAAACCAAAACTGAAAATGTTGATTTCATTTCCTTATCCTCATGTTGTTCCACAACACAAACAACACAACACAGCAACACTTTCTGAACACAAAAGAAGATATTTCTTCAGTTGCTGGTAGTTATTGACTTTATTTTAATTTAATTAATTTTTTTTCTATACTGGAAGTCATTCGCTACCTGCAGCTGTTTGGTTACCAACATTCTTCAAAATATCTTCTTTTGTATTCCACTAAGAAAGAAACTCATACCGATTTGGAACAACTTGTTGGTGAATAAATGACAGAATTATAAATGAATTATCCCGTAAACTAAGAAATTAGTTGGATCAACAGTTATTGTTATGGTCATTATAACTTTGAGATTAAGAATTAGGCTTGTCCTAATGCAGAGTTTTGTCTGTGGCAGGATGACTCAAAGAGGCACTCAGTGTCGCTGGATGACACGCCGCGGGGAAGCTGGGCCTCCAGTATATTTGACCTGAAAAACTCCACTCCTGATGCGCTGCTGCCTTCCGTGCTGGAGCGCACGGCTGCAGAGGACATGGACCGTCGCAACACTGAGAACCGCCAGCAGTGCCGCCACACTGATCTGCTGGGACTTTACCCTGCGCCGGATGAGGTCTGAAATCATTACACACTGTGTGAGACAGAAAGTTCAGGACTATGTGAGAAAGAAAGTAGAAAAGGAAAGTAGAGTCTGCTGTGTAGGAGATGATGAGTAACACTCAACACTTTTATGTAGGAGAGCTGTCAAACACTGAAGTTCAAAAGCAAAGACATCTCTCTGATGATCCAGCTGTGATTTTGTTTGATCTTGTCAAACGTCTTCTTTGTCTTTCCTCCGTCTCTTGCTCCTCCGCATCGACGCTGCTCATCCTCTCGCTTTATGTCGGTGTACACATTGTTTCTGATGACTGAGCAAACGTTGCCATGGTGCTGCTGACTGAGCCGTAGTCATGATGACGGTTCTTTGTGTTTGACAGGACGAGGCCGTCGAGAGGTGTGCCATCCCAGAGGTGCCCAATGAGCACAGCGGCCAGAGGATCATGGTCAAGTGTTTGTCGCTCAAGTAAGGCTCTCAACCTCACCATTCAGTCATGCAGGCGTTCTGGAGTGGTGGAATTGTTGGTCATATTGCAAAAACGACTACAAAGATGAAGAATAGCAGGCAATAAAAAAGAGTGTTTGTACAATGACAAAAACTATAAATGTACACAAAAGAATTGCAGAAACTCAAAACAATAAAACAAGAAAATGACTTGTTTTTGTGTTTCAGTCAGTGTCGGATGTGTTCATTTAATTTATTTACTCGACCTGACTAGAGTATTCTGTCAAAAATAACATCCTTGTCACTGTAAATCTCTGAATGGTCCTATTATTCAGTTGGTGACTGTATTCATTGATTGCGATGTAACACACCTTCTGATTACACATCCACCCTGAACAGTTAAGCCAGCTGCAGTATGATCTGACTTGCTGTGGTTGTTCTTCTAGATTTGAGATTGAAATCGAGCCAATATTTGGGTCACTTGCTCTGTATGATGTCAGAGAAAAGAAAAAGGTATGACTATGTGTTCTTAACCTTGCAATGTTTGGATAGTTACTGAAAAGTTTGTGGGCTCAAAGCAGGTTCCTGTAAAGCACTAATGAGATCATGATCAATCGTATGACGTTTCCCTTTCACGTCCATGCTCAGATTTCAGAGGATTTTCACTTTGATCTGAACTCGGACCAGATGAAGAGCTTGCTCCGGCCCCACAGTCCCCACGTAGCCATTTCCACACTGGCCCGATCCGCTATCTTCTCCATCACATACCCGTCTCCTGACATCTTCCTAGTCATTAAGGTATGACCATATGACCAGCAGGGGGCGCAGTGCCACGTGTCCTTTAGAGGGTACGGAAGGTCAGAGTAGGACAAGAGTAACTGTAGGTCATAATAATGAGGATTTGTTTTTGTAGAATTTTCAGTGGCCCTACCACAAAAATATGTACATTTTATAGAATATAAATGTTCTTTATTTCTGTTCCAGTATACACTACCTTTCAAAAGTTGGGGTCAGTACGATTTTTTTTAATACATATATACTGGTATTCAGCAAGGACACTGAAAACTGATCAAAAGTAACAATAAACACATTTATAATGTTAAAAAAGATTTCTGTTTTAAATAAGTGCTGTTATTTTGAACTTTCAATTCATTAAAGAATCATGAAAAAATGAATCGCAGTTTCTTGAAAAATAGCAAGCAGCGCAACCGTTTCCGACAATTAATTTTAAAGCTTTATCAAGACATTTTACAGGAGTCATGACTTCAAGCTTTAGAGATGAGTCAAACCACAAAAGCAATATTAACGAAAGAAGAAAAAGCACATTTTCCTGAGTCTTGACCTTAAGCCAATTCAGATGCTGTTGCATAACCTAAAGAGAGTTGTGCTATAAAGACAACTCATAAATATTGATAAACTGAAACAGATTTGTTGGCAGGGATGCTCCAAAATTGCTCAAAAGTCTAATAAGCCGTTTCATTTAGTGGAGGTTTTGCTGCTAAAGGATGATCTAAAGTTACTCAATTCAAGGTTTCACTTACTTTCTCCACCCTGTACTTTGAATGAATTCTCAATAAAAGTATATTCAATAAAAATGTTACAGTTCAAACAGTAAAAGTACAATTGTTTGTGTATTATTAGTTTAGTCAGATTGTGTTTATCTATAAATGTGAGTTGAATAAAAAGTCAGGCCATATTATGCAGATATTATTTATTATTGGTGCTTAATTAATAATAATGGTTCTTATTGTTATCAATGTTGAAAACTATTTGCTGCTTAATATTATTCGTCATACTTTTTTAGGATTCTTTTATGAATAGAAAGTTCAAAAGAACAGTATTTATTTCAAATAGTAAAGACATTTATAACACTTATAACACTTTTGGTCAATTTAATGCGTCATTTCTAAATACAAGTATTATTATTATTATTTGTTTATTTAAATTTTTTTAAATCTTATGTATCCCAAAATTTTGAATGGAAGTGTATCAGAGTTTCCACAAAAATATTAAGCAGCTAAAACGGTTTTCAACATAAAAAAAAAAAAAAAGTTTCTTAAGCAGCAAATCAGCATATTAGAATGATTTCTGAAGGATCATGTGACACTGAAGACTGACGTAATGATGCTGAAAATTCAGCTTTGCAACACAGGAATAAATGACATTTTTAAATATATTAAAGTAGAAATACCAAATCAAATAAATGCAGTCTTGGTGAGAATAAGAGACTTCTCAAAACATTATACATCTATATCTTGCCCCAGACATACTTATTGTTAAGCAACTGTGTTTGTGTTACAGCTGGAGAAAGTCCTTCAGCAGGGAGACATTGGCGAATGCTGTGAGCCGTACATGGTCATGAAGGAATCAGACTCCACTAAGGTACGAGTGTACATTTACGTGAGGGTTTTTGCAAGAGTATTTCATCAGACACATTTGGCATGATTATGGCATCCTCTGAGGATTTCTCAACTTGATCTGGACTACTGCAATATTTGTTAATCTTCTTCAATATGAGCAAGGTCCAGTAGATGCTGGAGCCTGTGACTGTCACTGTATAATTCTGCTGCCAAGTTGCTTTTTTTGGCTGTTTGAAATGGCATGATATGTGCTGCTCACCCATTACCTTTACACAGGGCTTGTGTAACAACCCAGATGGATATACTGAAATGATTCGGTGGTTTTCACCTTTGTGTGTATACATGCAGCATAAGGAAAAGCTGGAGAAGTTGAGGACTCAGGCTGAGCAGATGTGCACTAGGCTGGGTCGTTTCCGCATGCCCTTCGCCTGGACTGCGATTCATCTGCTGAACATCGTCAGCAGTGTTGGAGGGCTGGACCGCTCAGATTCCGACTCAGACACGGGTATTAACCAGAGTCAACACATTTGAACTCAGCTAAGGGTTTACTTTTTATTGCTTTCTTATAACCAGTCACCTTGAACATGTCCCTGAATGTAACAACACACACAAGGGCTGATATATTTACAACTATTCATCATTTTTAAGCCTTTTTCCAATATTTGATAAATGTGCTCCATTATTTTGAGACATTTTAATCCAGAAATACATCCTCAAGGTCCTTTATTTTGCATGAAAATGTGATGTAATGTAGTGAAAGGTTTTTCCTGGTGCCACAGTGCAACAACAAACAGGGCCAACAACAAATTAAGGACGCACACACATGCACATAATAAAAATATAAAATAATAAAATATAAGAAGTTATCGAGAAATATGATGTGAATAAAACAAAACAAAATATAGTATGTAAATAAATTAGAATATAGTAGTGAAAATAGTAGAGACTTGTATGCAGCAAAGAAAAAGGGAATCTCTTTTTACACTGTACCATTTCTGAAATAAAGAAGCATTTCAAGGTCCTGGAGTGGCCTAGCCAGTCTCCCGATCTCAACCCCATAGAAAATCTTTGGAGGGAGTTGAAAATCCGGGTTCGCCAGCGACAGCCCCAAAACATTACTGCTCTTGAGGAATGGGCCAAAATACCAGCAACCGTGTGTGAAAACCTTGTGAAGACTTACAGCAAACGTTTGACCTCTGTCATTGCCAACAAAGTGTATATAACAAAGTATTGAGATGAAATTTTGTTATTGACCAAATACTTATTTTCCACCATAATTTGCAAATAAATTCTTTAAAAATCCTACAATGTGATTTTCTGGATTTTTTTTTTCTCATTTTGTCTCTCATAGTTGAGGTATACCTATGATGAAAATTACAGGCCTCTCTCATCTTTTTAAGTGGGAGAACTTGCCCAATTGGTGGCTGACTAAATACTTTTTTGCCCCACTGTAGTTACTGGACTATGAACGATTTTTATAAATGATTTAACATAATTAGGAAATTTATTCAAACATTCGTTAAATAATTACGACATCACTAACAGTTTAAGTTCATAAATAAAAATATATAGTGCATATGTTGAAAAATGAGCTGTGGATGCTGGACAACTTTACTGAGATAAATGTAATGTTAGGTGACAAGTTCTGTACAAGCTGTTTTATTGACATCTTCTATGATTTAAACATCTTCTGTGATTTAATCATTTAAGATGATACTTTTCAGTAAGTTTATCCGTATCTTTAAACAAACCCTCATGCATTTTTCATACTGCAACTTGCAGTAAAGATGCAGGATATGAGGAAGAGAGCAGTATGCTCTACATGTGCTTTTCTGGCACACACTACATGAAAGAGCGTCAAAACAATAGTTTATTGTTTGAATTTCCTGATAAAATTAACATAATATGAAAGCTGTTTTTTACAAAAATAACAAAACACCAAATTATAAATTATAGAGGAAATAAATCCCCCAAAATTTTTGCTGAAGATGTATCCACCCTCAGGCCATCCAATATGTAGATTAGTTTTTTTTTTCTTTTTTTTTTTAAATCAAAAATAGATTTGTAGAAATTTAGCATTGCATCACTTGGTCACCAATGGATCCTCTGCAGTGAATGGGTGCCGTCAGAATGAGAGTCCAAACAGCTGATAGAAACATCACAATAATCCACAAGTAATCCACATGATTACTTTTTGTCAGAATTGGGAAAAACTATGCACAGATCAAGCACCATTTACAAACGAAAACAGAAGCGACGGTTTGAAATGAAAAATGCCTCGATGAATTTGTTTATTACAAACATGCTGCAGCGTTTCACTTCACAAGACATTAATTGATGGACTGGAGTCGTGTGAATTACTTATTGTGATGTTTTTATCAGCTGTTTGGACTCTCATTCTGACGGCACCCATTCACTGCAGAGGATCCACTGGATCCTATATTCACAATGTTGGTTAATTTTGTATAGCTAACAAAGTAATGTTGAATATAAATATTCTATATGTCATCCAGCCCTAGTTGCATGACACTAAACAGCATTTTCTCGTTCCTTACAGAGCGTAAGGGGACGTGGAATGAGAGGAAGAAGAAAGGATTTGAGAGGATGAGTGTAGGAGAGGACATGTGCAACTTCACTAACTTCCGTCCAGCGACTCTCACTGTCACCAATTTCTTCAAACAGGTCAGTTCTCTATGCATGCACATTTCTGATGGTAGTGTATTAGCACAATATATTATTTAGCCACTGAACGTATGCTGAGAGTTTCTGTACTGCTGCAGGAGGGGGACAGATTGAGCGATGAAGACTTATATAAGTTCCTGGCAGACATGAGGAGGCCGTCATCTGTCCTGCGTCGACTCAGACCTGTGACTGGTATCTGTCCACTCTTATTTTTACCACATAGGTTCAATTATTTAAGCTTTTTATCACACTCTGTCGGTCTCTTTCTGTCTAGCTCAGTTGAAGATTGACATCTCCCCGGCTCCAGAGGCCCCTCACTACTGTCTTTCTCCAGAACTGCTTCATGTGAAGCCTTACCCTGACCCACGTGTGCGCCCCACAAAAGAGGTGCTGGAGTTTCCCGCGCGCTACGTCTACACCCCACACACTACCTACAGGTCAGCCCACACACATTCATGACTAAGAGATGCTAATATATCTAAAGGTATCATAAAACTACATTCCGAGTCATCTGAATTCATAGGATTGTCTTGTGTGAGGAAAAGACTAAAATTTAAGCCGTTATTCATTGGTCGTCTTCAATTAACATCACAGAAATAAATTAAATTTAAAATATATTACAATGGAAAACATTTATTTTAAATTGCAATTTCAAAAACAGTAAAAAAATCTTGCTGACCTCAAACTCTTGAAGTATCAAATCAACATCCAATTTCCTTGTATGGAAAACATCTGCTTTTGTGTTAGATGGTATAAATCACTTTTTTTTCCATTTGTGGATGATTGTTACTTTCATTTAGCCAAAATTATTGGTTAGTTTCATATTTGCCCACCCATACAGCATGGTTACGTCGGCATTGTTTCTTCCGTGGAGAAGGTTATAAACACTTATGAAAATTTTTAATTTAAATTTAATTTATTTAAAACTATGTGAGTACTGATTTATCGTACATAGAAAGGCCAGTAACATTTATGTAGAAAGTAAATAAAACTTTAAAAAATCGTTTTAAAACAGAAAGAGAATACACACCACTTTTTCCTTCAGTTATAAGATAAAAAGTATTAAGTTATTAGTTATATACATATATTATGATAATTATGTTTTGTGCTATTAAAAATACATTATTCACTACAAAAAAGCAGCTAAATGTTTGTAATGGGGTTTTCATGCAGCAAATGTTTTACATAGAAATTCACTCTCCTTATGTTTCATAATTGAAGCCCAATGTGAGCATAAAATGCATGGCAAAGTGGAGAACTGTGTCATATTTATGATCATGACGTAAGTGCGATCCATTTGCAGTGCCGTGAATGGAGTGTTGATGAGTGTTGATTGCACTTCCTCCTTGTAGGTGATTTTAGTGGTTACACCATATTCTGAAATGAGAACCAAGTACTGGCATGAACCGATGATTTTACAGGCGATCACGTGTTTACTGGTAAGTCTGCACTCAGGCTTACCTGTTTCTGTAAATCAGCCAGCAGCTGGTTTTGATTCTCCAATTTCAGTTTCTGTTCTTGTGTCCACTTCATCAGGTCCTTCAGGTTAGAGATGTTTTTAAGTGGTGTGCCCTGTCAGAAGGAGATAATCGGTTGTTTCCAGATAAAACTGTCGGTGTGTTCATTGAAAGGCAGTTCTGCATCTTCAATACCTTGATCGTGTCTGGGACTGAGCTATTTAGGTTTTCCTCCAGGCTGGTTAGTTTTTTCTTTAGCTGTGCCTCTTCCAGCTCCACCCTGGTGACTGTATCTCTGTTCTCATGGACTTGAATCTCCAGAGCTTTCATCTGATCCTGCAAACAATCCAGCTGTTGAGCACACTGATCCAACTCCTTCTGAACCCACAGATCCCAGTACACTAACTGAGACATAGGAATTACAATATAATTATAATATACTAGTGAATGAATATAACGAGACAAGAAATTAAATGAGAAGTACACTGTATTAATAAAGTTATTTAAAACTTATACAATATTTACTCAATTCACTCTCTCTCTCTCTGTATATATATATAGTGTGTTGAGTAAATACAGTGGGTACGGAAAGTATTCAGACCCCCTTAAATTTTTCACTCTTTGTTATATTGCAGCCATTTGCTAAAATCATTTAAGTTAATTTTTTTCCCTCATTAATGTACACACAGCACCCCATATTGACAGAAAAACACAGAATTGTTGACATTTTTGCAGATTTATTAAAAAAGAAAAACTGAAATATCACATGGTCCTAAGTATTCAGACCCTTTGCTCAGTATTTAGTAGAAGCACCCTTTTGATCTAATACAGCCATGAGTCTTTTTGGGAAAGATGCAACAAGTTTTTCACACCTGGATTTGGGGATCCTCTGCCATTCCTCCTTGCAGATCCTCTCCAGTTCTGTCAGGTTGGATGGTAAACGTTGGTGGACAGCCATTTTTAGGTCTCTCCAGAGATGCTCAATTGGGTTTAAGTCAGGGCTCTGGCTGGGCCATTCAAGAACAGTCACAGAGTTGTTGTGAAGCCACTCCTTCATTATTTTAGCTGTGTGCTTAGGGTCATTGTCTTGTTGGAAGATAAACCTTCGGCCCAGTCTGAGGTCCTGAGCACTCTGGAGAAGGTTTTCGTCCAGGATATCACTGTATTTGGCCGCATTCATCTTTCCCTCGATTGCAACCAGTCGTCCTGTCCCTGCAGCTGAAAAACACCCCCACAGCATGATGCTGCCACCACCATGCTTCACTGCTGGGACTGTATTGGACAGGTGATGAGCAGTACCTGGTTTTCTCCACACATAATTCTGTCTCTGCGCTCTTCAGGCAGTTCCTTTGACCTTATGATTCTCATTTGCTCTGACATGCACTGTGAGCTGTAAGGTTTTATATAGACAGGTGTGTGGCTTTCCTAATCAAGTCCAATCAGTATAATGAAACACAGCTGGACTCAAATGAAGGTGTAGAACCATCTCAAGGATGATCAGAAGAAATGGACAGCACCTGAGTTAAATATATGAGTGTCACAGCAAAGGGTCTGAATACTTAGGACCATGTGATATTTCAGTTTTTCTTTTTTAATAAATCTGCAAAAATGTCAATAATTCTGTGTTTTTCGGTCAATATGGGGTGCTGTGTGTACATTAATGAGGAAAAAAAATTAACTTAAATGATTTTAGCAAATGGCTGCAATATAACAAAGAGTGAAAAATTTAAGGGGGTCTGAATACTTTCCGTACCCACTGTATATTGTAATATATACATTATATATTAAATATATAAATATAGTTTCACATTGAATCTCCAGATTAATGTAGACACAACATAAAGACAGTAATTTAAATAGTTTATATTTTACATATTTGTTCAGTGGCATCTTTTTTTGCTATGAATCAAGGCCAGTATGCCTGATATCAATACTGATATAGATATCTCTAATAAATTATTATTATTATTATTATTATTCCATTTTTGAGGATAAAAATTGATCCTTTCTCTCTATTTCTGTCTAGACTTGTTTACATAAGTAGTTCTAGACTTGACTGATTACATTAGAAATTGAAGCTAAATGAGTTGTATTAGTAGTTATAAGCTTGTCTGTTTGCACAAATAGTTTACATTAGGAGTTGAAACTGAACGGTTTATGTTAGTTTTTGTAAACTTGGTAGTTTACATTAGATATTGATTTTTTAAACCATTTATATTAGTAGTTGTAAACTTGTCTGTTTACACAATTAGTTGTAAACATGACAGTTTATGTTAGGAGTTGAAACTTAGATTTTGCAGTATTTGGCTGAGCAGTGGTTTGAGTGGCTCGCCAATGTGTTAGAATTCTCTAATACATAAAATAAGTAAACTTGACCAGAGTTCTTGTGGGGAGAAGAATTTATTGACGTTAGTAGTGTAGCACAATTCTTCAGCAGCAGTGTTAGCGTGCAAGTATCTTAACCCTTGCAAGAATCTCAGTTTCTCCCAAAGTTCTGTTTGAGACAGAACTTTATACCTGAAGACAAAAGGGCTACAAACAATATCTACTGTTAGGACCTCTCGCTGGAGATCCTGCAATCTACAAGAAGTTCCTGAGAAAAGTTGTTCCTTTGTTATTCCAACTGTATGGACTATTTGGTTCACACCTTTACAGACAGATTCAGTTGATTGAATCTGAGGCACAGTCACAATGTAAATGCATCTGACTAAATATATACGCATAATCTTTCAAAACTTAACTTTGAACCTTAACTTAATTGATTAAAATTGTTTTGACAATCACATCACAAACATTATTATTGTAAAGAATCATTGCTGTTTGAATGACTGTTATAATAAGTTTTCTAAAATTGTAATTACAAAGCCTGTCTGTTTACATCAGTCCTGTTTAACATTACAAAAATTAACAATCCTAAAGAAATCATTTTGGTGTGCTTATTTGTTACTTAAGAAACCTTTCTCATCTCAGTGTAGTTGAAAATGGTTGTGCTGCTCAAGGAAGTGTGGCAGTTGCAATGGAGTGTCTTTTTTCATTTGCTAAATTGAGCACACTTGCATTGCTGAAGTCCTAATTTGGTTTCAGAAATGGCCACACGGAAGCACCTTTCTTGAGTAACTCATTTTAGTGACTCAGTCTATTGTCCTTAGAAATTAAGGCCATGCTTGAGAGAGCACCACATTGTGCACTGCTGTGTTGACAGAAGGAAGCAGCTTGTATATACCCAGGAAATCAAGATAAGTGAACTGAAAATAGAAGAACAGAAGTTATATAAGTGTATGAGTATCATAGTCTTTGGAAACTTTAAATGGAAGTGCACATAATAGCTCTGAACTTGACAGTTTACATCATCTACAGGCTGCTTTTAAACCATTGCTGGTCTGATAGAAAAGGGTTCATTTATTCCATCTATTTCCTTCTCTGTCCCCCTCAGGAACATGTTGTACGTTTACCCTCAGAGTGTCAACTTCAATAGCCGGCAGGGTTCGGTGAGGAACATTGCAGTGAAGGTGCAGTTCATGGCAGGAGAGGATCCCAGCCAGGCCATGCCTGTGAGTCACCAATAACACCCGCACCCGGCTCTAGTCACACTGTCAAAGCGTATTCTTATGAAAAGACAAAAAACATTTGGGATTATGTAAGTACATCTGATACGATGATCTCATCTCTTAGATAAACTCAATTGTGCACAATTAAGCTCTCCAGATCTGTGCTAAGAGTATGACAACACCTCCCTAAAACACATCGATCCATGTCACAGTGTTTTAGCTTCAGCTAAACACTCAGGTTACATTAGTCACTCGAACCAAACTCAAGTCTTCAGATCTATTAAGGAAGCGCTCTGGGAAATTTTGGAGATTTCAGTGAACTCGCAGAACCTTTTGCATTTTGTTAATCGAATCAGAAACTCCCTAATAGTGTTGATGCTGCATTCGAACACCAGTTGCTCACTTTGAAACATCTGTAATTTATTTAGGGCTCAAGTGAGGCCATATGCAGTGCAGGTGCATTTGAGGCTAAATTAATTTTGTGATAGTTAGAAAATCCATCCACAGTGTTATGATTAGCTAGGGCAACATCATGGCTGCAATGTAACTCCCCAGTGACATCTAGTGGAGCCGTTAAGCTGTTATTCACGAGTGCAATGTGATTTCCAACCCCCTGAACAGGTCATCTTTGGAAAGTCAAGCTGTGCCGAGTTTTACAAGGAGGCGTACACCCAAGTGATCTACCATAACAAGTACAAACCTTTGTCTCATTCACTATTCATTACAGAAACAACACCATTTTATACATGTCCAGAATAGCATTACATTTCCGTACAGAAGTAGTTATTTTTGACTCAGAGGGCCTCCACTGTACAATACAATAATATTCAAAGGCTCCACATGTAGTATAATATTAACAGATATATATTTATATTATTCAATTGGATACAGAAAGAGAGAGAGAGAGATTAATTACAATTTTTTGGAAGTTTTGAAAGTGTTATGCTCACCGAGGCTGATGAAAATACAGTAATAAAACCCGTAATATTGGAAATATTATTACAATTATAACTGTTTTCTTTTAAAGACAATTGGAAGACAATAAAATTATTTCTGAAGGATCATGTGTCACCAAAGACTGGAGTAATGTTTGCTGAATGCAGCTATGCCTTCCTAGAAATGCAATTAAATAGCAATAATATTTCACTATAGTACTGTTTTTAATGTATTTTTGTTCAAATAAACGCAACATTGGTGAGCATAAGTGACTTAATTCAAAAGCATGAAAAAAAATCTGAATTATTCTGAACTTTTGTTTGGAAAAATAGTATATATATGTATATATATATATATATCATTTGTAATATTTATTTAATTCATTTTGTGAGTCCAGAGGTTACAGGAACTGTATGTTCTTCACTAAAAACAAAAGTTATTGTGGGGGGGGGGGAATGATTTCAGTTTAGATCTTTACTGTATGTTTTCTTTTTTCTTTCAGCCTTTTAATGAAGTTAGTTGTTTTATTATCAACTGTTAATATTATTATTATTATTATTAATATATTAAAACAAGCTAAATAATTTAATCTTTTTTTCTTTTATTTAAACCATTTTATTTACAACCGCTAAAATAATTAAAATCATTTGAACTTATCCAGCAGCCCCCTTGGCTGAGGCCCCCTAGTTGAAAACCACTACAACGTTTTTCATTCTCCTCTCTCCATCTCTGCAGGTCCCCAGAGTTCTACGAGGAGGTAAAGATGAAGATTCCTGCCAACCTCACCGACAACCACCACCTGCTCTTCACCTTCTATCACATCAGCTGCCAGCCCAAGCAGAATACCCCCTTAGAGACGCCAGTGGGCTACACGGTGAGAGAAGGACCCCCCTCTCTTCTCCTCTTCCTCTCTATCCTCTCGTGACAGCACTGGAGAAGCGCTCCAGGCTACCTGATGAAACGCTCACCTCCATGTGACCCTATCCCCCCTCAGAGACACCTAGAGCGTCCTTATACGTCACCTCCCACGCAATCTCTTTTCCTGCTGGGATTCAGTAGCACCCTCCCCTGATTCTCCTTATGACACTTATGAAGTTGTAGCGTCATGTGATTGTAGGTCATATATAGCATGCTAATGTTTTTGAACTGCATGTAGGCTGTGCAGGTTAATCATAGTTCATGTTGTTTTTTGCAGTGGATCCCCCTCATGCAGCACGGCCGCCTGCGCACCGGCTCCTTCAGTCTGCCTGTCTCTGTGGAGAAACCTCCACCCAGCTACTCAGTCCTCACTCCTGATGTAAGACATTTATCCTAAACTGGATGTTTGTGAGGTTGTGTTTGTGAGAATGTGTGTGGAAGTGAAAGATGTCAAAAGAAGGGCAGATCGAGGGGGGGCAATTGTAATAATTATTTTTTTCCCCTTCATAATTTCATCTTCCTAATCAGACTACTACTATTTCCTGCCATCTTTTCATATAATAGGAACTTTCAAGAAGTATGATAGACTTGGTAACTCTTGACACTTTTTAAAGCACTAGACATTTAAAGGGTTAGTTCACCCAAAAATGAATTTTCTGTCATTAATTACTCACCCTCATGTCGTTTCAAACCCGTAAGACCTTCATTCATCTTCGGAACACAAATTAAGATATTTTTAATGAAATCTGAGAGCTGTCTGACCCTGCATAGACAGCAACGCAACTGAAATAGTCCCAAGTCCAGAAACGTAGCAAGGAGATCTGTAAAATAATCCATGTGACATCAGTGGTTCATCCACAATTATACGAAGCTACGAGAATACTTTTTGTGTGCAAAAGAAAAAAAAATAACGAATTTATTCAACAATTCATCTCCTCTGCATCACCCTGGTGCCATTTTGAAGAATATCCGCTGGACGTAAACAAAATATGCTGTTCTGTGTCAGCTGCGTTACATGGATACGCGCGTTGTTTCTGTACAGATCAAATCACAACAACGTGACGCAGCTGACACAGAAACAGCATACGTTGTTTACATCCAGCTGATACTCTCCAAAATGGCATTACAGGGTGATGCGGAGGAGACGAATTGTTGAATAAAGTCGATTTTTTTTTTGAACCACTGATGTCAAACAGAGCCTGTATCTCCCCCTGCTGGTGAGTGAGAAATACAGCTCACAAAGCACAAAAACAGGGCAATGTCATGTTAAATTGTGAGATTTGAGAGATACATAATGCAAAACATCCTTCATGGAAGAAGTAAAATAGTCAGGGTTTGGAATAATTTGGAAGTGACTAAATGATGATAAAATGTTCATTTTGGGTTGACTTTGAAGTCTTAAAAATGCCCTTTCGTGTGCCTTTGAGTTATTGAACCGTTGCTAAAACTGTAAACATTATTTAACCTTTAAACTGTGCTGATTCGTTTCTCTGGGGCTCAGTGTTTATCTATTGTAGTAACTGCTTCACTCACATTTATACTCACTCTCATTTGATCTCAAGAGCAGAATGGTTATTTATGTTCATACACTGAGTGCATCCCACTTTCTCCTTCAGTGGGACTTGCATCGTATGATCTCCCCATCCAGTATGCCACGCTCTCTAGGGCGACGGCAAGACCCAGCAGCCTGCTCTTGTCCCGCTCCAAGAGCATTAGTAACTCCAACCCCGACCTGGCCTCAACACCAGCCACCCCTGACGAGGAGGTGCAGAGAATCATTGGCAGCAAGGTGGGTGGCTCTTCCTCTGGCTTCTGATTGGTTGTTCAAGTTACTGCAGTGTGACCACTCTGTCCAGTGTTGTTTCTACTTGGACTAGGGAGCTACAAGGAACAGAGTATTAAAAGAAGCGCTTTGAGTGATAGTTGCTGTTATTGTTGTTGTCTTTTAAACAGTCAGTTTCGGTTTTCTCTTTTGTTGGTGAAAATCTGGGGGGAAAACTAATCAAGTAAAATAAAATCTAATAATGAAGATATTTCACAACAAATTGGATTAACTAATCAGTGACATCGCTTTGCAAAACAAAGCGATTTCTATTAAAAATAAATGCTGAAAAAATAGCATTTTTGTTTGATTGTGAAATTAACAGATTAACTGTTTCATCAAAATCGTTAAATAGTTGCTGTCCCTACTCTTACTGTCGTGTGCTGGAGCTGCAGGCTCAGAGATTGACTGTGAGATGTTTTCGGTGGCAGCTGTTGATTGCTCTGCTAATAATTGTGCTTATTTTTTGCTGTGGTACTGCTGTTCCTACCCTCTCCCCTCTTTCACTGTGCCCCTGACTTGTCCCCAACCCTCCTCTAAATTAATTATTGTTCCTGCACTTCGTCCCCTCCCTGTGGCACCTGTATGTGACTGTTCTGCACTCACCTGTGTTGCACTGTGGTGTGTGTTTGTGTCGTCGGTGGATAAGCAGGGGATAGACCGCTCACATTCCTGGGTAAACTCTGCTTACGCTCCAGGGGGCTCAAGGGCTGTGCTCCGTCGGAACCCCAACTCCAGCTGTGAGCTCAAGCAGGTGCTAGTCAAACCCTACACTCTAATGTCCCTCCCTACTGCCTCAAACCATACGCCATAATATAACCTGTAACTGCCTCAGACCCTTTTACCCCACATCAACCCTTAGCCATAACATTATTTGTTACCATCTCAAACTCTACAACCGAATACTCTCTGAAAACACACAACTCAGCATGATCTGTTACGGTCTTGAGAGCCTCAACGCAACTTGTTACCGTCTCAAACCTTTAAACCTAACATTACTTGTTACTTTATCAAACCTTTAACCCTAACATTGCTTGTCACTTTATCAAACTTTTAACCCTAACATTGCTTTTTACTTCATCAAACCTTTAACAGAAGTAATACTTTTAACCATAACATTCCTTATCACTGCCCTAACCCTAACATTGCATGTTTCTTTATCAATCCTTTAACCCTAACATTACTAGTTACTGTCTCGAACACTTAACCCTAACATTACTAGTTACTGTCTCAAACACTTAACCCTAACATTACTTGTTATTGTCTCAAACACTTAACCCTAACATTACTTGTTACTGTCTCAAACCTTTAACCCTAACATTACTTATTACTGTCTCAAACACTTAACCCTAACATTACTTGTTACTGTCTCAAACCCTTAACAGTAATATTACTTGTTACTGTTTTAATTAACCTACCATTGTTAACTCTCAAAACCTTAACCCTACCATTTTTTGTCACTGTCTCAAACCTTTAACCCAACATGACTTGTTATTGTCTTAAAATCTAGCCAAAGTGTCCTACACTCAAATTCCCTTCATTCTCAACTTTTATATGCTAAAATGTTGAGTCCCAGTATTTCAGCCCATACACCATATCATCCTATACGCTCTCATTGCCTTCACTCTGGTATTACTTCTGTAATCATACTCCATAATCTTCTACCAGCTCTTCTGCTGCTGTCCATTTGGCTTTATTCTTATGTATGTGTTTATGCCTGAGGATGCGTGCTCATTTGTGTAGAAGGTGTGTGTTGTGTGCCTACTTCTCTTCATCAACCAACTCATCTCTCTTTCCTTTGTGTGCTGTACTTCTCCTGCCCCTGTCAGTCAGAGGAAAACTTGGTTGAAGACTAGTTACCAACAATACAACAGTGCCTCGTCTTGCAGTGATGGAACAATAAAACCTAGGTTTACATATGCAATGTTGCACCCAATTCAATTAACTATGTGACATATTGATGTCACATCAATATGCTTAGAATCCTCCCTTACATTATTTGATTTATTTAGTGCATAGTCCGTTAACCACAAAATAACCCCCTTAAGGATTTCAAACCTCAATCACCGTGTCAGGGTTTATTTTGCATAGATGACCGGCTGACTGTGCATTATCCCTAACATAGCATGGATAACGTTTGATTATTTAGATTTTTTTTAAGTATCTGGGTTGGTGTATCTAGCAGGCATTGTCTTATCCTCTTCCCTCGTTTTCTCTCTTTCTGTCTTCCATTCTTCGTCATCAGGTTAATCGTCGTCGTCATCATCATCATCATCATCATCATCACCACCAACACCAACCATCACCACCATTGTTCTGTGTTCACTCACTGGTTTGCAGGCCAGTGAGCGTGCCTGTAATCGCATGTCTGCCTTCATCGAGACTGCCTCCATTCTCTGTCCTCCCTCCAGGCAGATCGCCAAGAAGGTAGTGCACATACTCATTTACTCACCCGTGCACTCTCCTGTTCATTAGTTTCTTAATTCACTCATTTATGTACTCACCCATTCATTGAGCCACTTTATCTTGTTCATGCACACGTATCACTATTATTTCAAAGTAATCTGCCTTCATTGTGCATGTGTGTGCTTGTGTTCTCTATGTATATTTTGTAAAAATGCTCTCTGCGTTCAGTTACTTCATGAAGAGTTGGCTCTCCAGTGGGTGGTGAGCTCCAGTACCGTGAGAGAGGCATCTCTGCAGCAGGCCTGGTTCTTCTTCCAGCTCATGGTCCGTTGACCTCCAACCTTTTACATTTACATCAATAACTGAACTCAAGTCACATTTATTTCTGTAGCTCTTAATATAATATAGATTATTTCAGAGCAGCTTTACAGTAATAAAAGAGGTAATAAATGTAGACCTAAATGTTGTAAAATTTATAATTTAAACTGTAAAGCAGCTCTACAGAGGACAATGGAGTCATTATTCAGCTCAATTTAGTTCAATATCAGTGTCACTGTTGCAAAGTTCATTGTATGAAATGAAATGAACTCAATTCAACTATAAAGCAGCTACAAAAGACAATAGTGCCATTATTCAGCTCAAGTCAATGTTGATTCAGTTCAGTAACAGTATCAGTGTTGCAAAGTTCATGTCATTATCCAGCTCAATTCAGTTCTCATCTGATAGTGTTAGTACAGTCCAATCAATAATAATACTGAATATTATGGAGCCCCGCACATGACATGGAGGAAAAAAATGGCAAATCGTGCACTTGGTTGAAGTTCCCTCGTTTTACTAAATCGTGGCCACATTTTTGTTAAATCATATTGAGGGAACAAATTATTGTATTGTGCGTATGATTTACTTGAAATGAGGGAATGAGTTTAGTAAAATGAGAGTACAAATTATCATGTTGTGCACATGTCACATTCGAGGCTCTGTAGAATATACTTTTTTTTTTTTATTGTCTTTGAAAAGGATAGTTCACCCAAAATAAAAATGCTGTCATTTACTTACCATGTCATTTAAGAATGAGTTTAGTAAAATGAGAGTACAAATTATCATGTTGTGCACATGTCACATTCGAGGCTCTGTAGAATATAAATTTTTTTTTTATTGTCTTTGAAAAGGATAGTTCACCCAAAATAAAAATGCTGTCATTTACTTACCATGTCATTTAAAAAAAAAAAGTGGAATTTTCATTTTTGGGTGAACTGTCCCTTTAATAGTTCCACATATAGTAATGACTGTATATGACTTAATTATTTTGATGACTCCTAGACATGTAGGTTTTGGAAAAACCTAGTGTTTGGTGAGTTTTGGAAAGCAGAATCAAAGCTACAGATGGTATCACTTATTTTTCTGTGTGTGAAAACAGGTGAAGAGCATGTCCCATCATCTGTTCCTGTCCTCACGCCTGGACATGCCCCGACGCCAGCGCTTCCCAGACCGCTTTGTGGATGACATTGCTGCCTTAGTGTGTGCCATCAGTGCAGACATAGCCAGCAGATATCACAAGGTAAAAGAGCAGCAGATCTCCTTTTACTGTTGAAGGAACACAGACCTTATGTAGATATGGGGATGTTTGAGACTTTATGGTGGTTTGTATTCCGTTTTATGACTGTTAACTGTTGTTATGAATCAACAGGAAGCATGCTTATCTTTGTCTAAACCAATGTCTGTGTGCGTTTCAGGATGTTGAGCTAGTGGAGAGGTTAAACAACAGCTTGGCCTTTTTCCTCAATGACCTGCTGTCTCTCATGGACAGAGGCTTTGTTTTCAACCTCGTCCGCTCATATTATAAACAGGTACATGCACAAAAACACACAAGCACACATTTTAAAATGCTCCCAGTGTGCTTGATTATAGCGTAGTCTGAATATATGATTGGTTATGATGCTCTTCTCCAGAATTTGGTCATCATGTGATGAATTTCTGCTGTCATGATCACTAGACTTTGTACACATAAACTATAAAAAGCCTTATTTACATAAGAAGGAGGTGTGTTTGCACCAAAAACAATACATTTCAATTCTTATACTAGCGCACAGTGCCTGGTTTACATGGATTGCAAGTGGTTTAGTGAACGAGACACATGCAGATGAGGCACAGCTGTGAATTCATCCTAGAACCTTTAGTGACAAATGACAGTTTGGTGCATTTGTGTCTTCAGATTAATAAGCTCCACACAGCGCAGAACCCCAGCTCTCTGACAGCGCTGAGGATGGACTTCATACGGATCGTCTGCAGTCACGAGCACTACGTCACCCTGAACCTGCCCTGCGCCACCCTCAGCCCCCCCGCATCGCCCTCACCCTCCACATCCTCCACCACCTCTCAGGTACACACACATTCACTCTAACTCTCTCTTTAGTGTCAAAAGATCCTTCAAAATTCACTCTAATGTGCTGATTTGCTGCTCAAGATACATTTCTTATTATCAGTGTTAAAAATAGTTGTGCTGCTTAATATTTTGTTGAAACCATAATACATGTTTTTTAGGATTCTTTGATGAATAGAAAGTTCAACGAACAGCATTTATTTGAAATGGGAATCATTTGTAACATTATAAATGTCCTTTATTGCAGAATACAGAAAATCTTACTAAGCCCAAGCTTTTGAAGAATAGTGTTAGTACTTTAACAAAAATGTACAATTTATTAATTACAATATATTGATTATAAATAAGCATACTTAAAGGGATAGTTCACCCAAAAATGAAGAGTTTATGTTTATCTGCTTACCCCCAGGGCATCCAAGATGTAGGTGACTTTGTTTCTTCAGTAGAACACAAATGATGATTTTTAACTCAAACTGTTGCTGTCAGTCATATAATGGAGGTGAATGGGAATCACGGCTTTGAGAGTCAAAAAAACATACACAAAACCAAATTAAACCCTGTGGCTTGTGACAATACATTGATGTGAAAAGACATGAAACGATCGGTCTGTGCTAGAAACTGAACAGCATTTATATCGTTGTTTACCTCTGATTTACTGCAATGTCCGAACTGTCCTGAGCGTGTCCTGAGCGTGTTCTGAGCATGTTCGTGTCGTCTTCTTCTTCTTGCTTTACAGCAGATCGCAGACTTATAAGTGCATTAACACCACCTATCTCTCAAATGGACCATTGACACTCCTAAAGTCAATGTTGTTTGGTTTGGACCTGACTGATTTTCATTGTCTGGGCAAAAACAGTTGAAACAATCTTTAAAATATCTTCTTTGTGGTCCATACAAGAAATTAAGTCATACAGGTTTGGAACAACATGAAATAATTTTTATTTATAGATTAACTATTCCTTTAAGGTGTACGATAATTAATCGATATACAGTCTTAAATTGCTACCTTTGTCAATTTGGGCATCTAGGAATGAAGAAGGAACAGTCATTCCAGTCTCATTCCTCTCTGTCTCTCTCCTCAGAAACATCCCTGATCAACACCTACTTACATCATGTTTTTATCTCCTTTAAACCATGTCAATACACAAAAACACACACATACATACACACACAGTCAATCTCTGTCCAGGAAAGAGCTGCCGAAGTCTGACTCACACACAGGAAGAGAGTCTCATCACCACGGAAACACTTGCATAACGCAGAGCGTACATGAGAAACTTCTCAATCCAGCGAAATGAATGAAACACCGTCTGCACCTTTACACAACCACACACATATTGGTCTGAAACGGAGAGCAAAACTGCGTGTATATCTGCGTGTGTGTTTGACAGCAGCAGCTTAAAAGAGCCTGAAGCAGACAAATAATTCACAGACAGAGGGGGCAAGGGAAGGTTGAATGAAGGTAAAAATACAACCAGAGAGAGAGAACAAGCAACTCAACACGCATCTAAAGGGGGAAGAGAGAGGAAAACCTTTGGAGAGAAAAAAAAAACCATAACATGAGAGAAAGCACACAATGAATTGATTTGAGCAGAGAGAGAGAGGAAGGGGCATAATTTGATATAGGAGGGAGTGCTGGACGTTGAAAGAGTGATGGGGCAAAATTACAAAGTGGAGACATACACAGAGATAAAGTGAAAACAAGGGGGACATGCTGTTTGCATGAGTGAGCTTGTAATAATATTCTGTTTGATAAATGTGTGAACTGATTTCACCCTGTAAAGAAACGCACACACACAGTTGGGTTTCCATGTTTTATGGGGGCATTCTATAGGCCTAATGGTTTTTATACTGTTAAAACTGAATTTTCTATCGCCTAACCCTCACAGAACACTTTCTGCATTTTTATGATATATGAGCTTGTATCCTTATGGGGACTAAAAAATGTCCCCACAAAGTTAAAATTTACTGGTAATACTTTACTTGTGGGGACATTTGGTCCCCATAATGTAAGGAATACTAGTTACATGATCCTTCAGAAATCAAATATGCTGATTTGCTTCGCATGAAAAATTTATTATTATTATTGTTGTTGTTGTTGAAAACAGTTATGTACCATTTTTTTCAGGATTCTTTGATGAATAGAAAACTCAAAAGAACAGCATTTATCTGAAATAGAAAGATTTGTTTTTTAAAAGAATGTTCACCAAGGCTGCATTTATTTGATTAAAAATACAATAAAAACAGTAATATTGTGAAATATTATTACAATTAATAATAACTGTATTCTATTTTTATATATTTTAAAATGCAATTTCTTCCTGTGATGGCAAAGCTGAATTTTCAGCAGTCATTACTCCATTCATTATTATTACATGATCCTTCAGAATTCATTCTAATATGCTGATTTGCTGCTTAAGAATTTCTTTTAAAATTTATCAGTGTATCAGTGTTAAAAATAGTTGTGCTGCTTAATATTTTGTTGAAACCATAATACATGTTTTTTAGGATTCTTAGAAAGTTCAAAAGTTCAACGAACAGCATTTATTTGAAATGGGAATCATTTGTAACATTATAAATGTCCTTTATTGCAGAATACAGAAAATCTTACTAAGCCCAAGCTTTTGAAGAATAGTGTTAGTACTTTAACAAAAATGTACAATTTATTAATTACAATATATTGATTATAAATAAGCATACTTAAAGGGATAGTTCACCCAAAAATGAAGAGTTTATGTTTATCTGCTTACCCCCAGGGCATCCAAGATGTAGGTGACTTTGTTTCTTCAGTAGAACACAAATGATGATTTTTAACTCAAACTGTTGCTGTCAGTCATATAATGGAGGTGAATGGGAATCACGGCTTTGAGAATCAAAAAAACATACACAAAACCAAATTAAACCCTGTGGCTTGTGACAATACATTGATGTGAAAAGACATGAAACGATCGGTCTGTGCTAGAAACTGAACAGCATTTATATCGTTGTTTACCTCTGATTTACTGCAATGTCCGAACTGTCCTGAGCGTGTCCTGAGCGTGTTCTGAGCATGTTCGTGTCGTCTTCTTCTTCTTGCTTTACAGCAGATCGCAGACTTATAAGTGCATTAACACCACCTATCTCTCAAATGGACCATTGACACTCCTAATTGAGATTGTAGATAGAGTGTCAATGGTCCATTTGAGAGATAGGTGGAGGTAATGCACTTATAAGTCTTATATGCGTCACGCGCAGACTGAAGAAGAAGACGCGAACACGCTCAGGACAGTTCGGACATTGTAGTAAATCAGAGGTAAAAAAACAATATAAATACTGTTCAGTTTCTTGTACAAACTAATCGTTTCGTGTCTTTTCACGTCAATGTATCGTCACGAGCTGCAGGGTTTAATTTGGTTTTGTTTGTGTATGTTTTTTTACTCTCAAAGCCGTGATTCCCATTCACCTCCATTATATGACTGACAGACTGCAACGGTTTGAGTTAAAAATCTTTGTTTGTGTTTTACTGAGGGAAACAAAGTCACCTACATCTTGGATGCCCTGAGGGTAAGCAGATAAACATAAAATTTTCATTTTTTGGCATTATGCAGCTCATTATGCAGGCCTTTGTCTTCTCAGGTGTGAATCACTCATTATACATGACCATTCACGCCCCCTCGCATATTCCTTTTCTACACAAAAAGTGTCTTAGAAAATTTAAATCAATATATTGTTTTCTGTGAGTGAGTAAACAAGATGATTTTCACATCATTCTGATGCAAAAACTCTAGACTTCAAGATCTGTTCTCAATAGTCCTGTGAACAAATGTTCTGTATGTGTTTTATGGCCTTATTTCAGTGACTTTAAAATTTTAGTTTTTCACTAAGCACGCATAAACGTTGTTTTCTCAAAAACACAATCACATACATACATGCTGCCCACATATTATTGTAGCCCAGTTTGTGCTGATTATGGTGCTACTAAACTTAGTCATTAAAATGTTTATTAGCAACTGAAAAAAGCACAAATGTCAGAACATGTCAAAACTTCTCCAGGGCCCAAAACACCCTCAGACCCCAGAGGGTTAAGCAGATTTACTTTACTCCTCAAGCTTGATAATTTCAGTTTTCTGGGATGTGGTGCTCTCTACAGTGCTGTAGAGTTTCCTGATTTGTTTGTAACTGTGCGTCGAAGAGTTTCTCGCTGTAGAGTTTAAAACCGGTCATGATGGATGTTATGTTTCTGTCTGCTGTCTGTCTGCCATACAACCACATTACATCAAGCTGGACACACTCAGTGGAATCCTCCTAGGAATTGAATTGCACTTCACTTTATTATGGCAATGGTGAGACATTTCTGTGTTCTCTTGTAGAGCTCAGCGTTCTCCTCTCATGTTCTGGATCAGGGTGTGGTCAGCATGTTCGAACTGTCGGTGCCGTTCCGCCAGCAGCATTTTCTTTCTGGTCTGCTTTTGGCTGAACTGTCACTCATCCTCGAGCCAGACGGAGAGGGGTGAGAAACGTTCCTACGCTTGCACACTCAAGTATTTTACTAGCGATACACAGACATTTTCAGCTTAAGTCAGTAGCTGATTTCTTTCATCTTATGGTCAATAAATATAGGCTAATATTGATTTATAATATACACAATTAAACGAATCTGTTTGTAAAAATTCCCAAAATTTTAGAAATCAGTACCAATACTGGTGAAATTTCATAGTTCACAATGCCAATTTCGATACCATAGTTAAAGGCTGAAATACATTACTGTACATAAATTTTGCCTGATGTTTTTTGTCCCGATTTGCGATCTGGAGTCAATGCTATTTGCCGAAAGTCAAAGTCAGTCTGCGGATTTTGAGCAGATTTCACAGAAAATCACATAGTGTATAATGAGCACAGACTAAAAAAAAATTTTTAGCTTCAGACTATGATTCCATTTAATATGAGGATATCAGTCATGTTTGATATTTTAAGACAATTTTAGAGCACTTATTGTTCTATGTAATTCGTTTTGTGTATGATGCTCAGTTGTTCTCTGTAACCATTTACAAAGTCGACAAGTGTATGATGTCTAGTGTTTCAAAATCTGTTCAAATAAAATCTGTTTAGTGTATTCCAGCCATAAAGGACATATGCTGATGAGACACTCCTTTGTTATGCTGACACTCCTTTGTTTAAAAAGTGAAATATTAATATGAATATTAATGGTATTAAATTAAATCAATAACATGTAACCTTCAAATATTTATCTGTGAAGGAAATATTCGTTCAGCTTTGTCTAATTACAAATGAATGAATTGGTTTTGAAGTATTAGCGTGTTTTACCATGTTTGAAGCCATTTAGTTTTAAATTTCGCTCTTAAATTAGCACAGAAAAAAGCTTTGAACTGCTTTTATAAATAAGATTCCAACACCTCAAATCATCTCACACCTCTTTCTGTCTTTCTCAGTGTGTTCTTCCTACACAAGAAGACCATTAGTGCGCTGCATTCTCTGCTGTGCAGTCACGACGCGGACCCCCGCTACACAGACCCCCAGGTCCGCTCCCACATCGCCCAGCTCTACCTGCCACTCATCCCCATCGTCATGGAGACACTGGCCCAGCTTCACGACTTCACCGGTAAGTGAGACCCTGTGAGCTAAGCGCCCACAATAGAGCATACTCCTTATCTCTTCAGTTATTTATATAAACTCTTTGTTTATGAGTTGAATAGTCTTTCAAAGGTCAGAGCTCCACAGAGTCATTAAAAACTGAACAAAAGTCCCATTTCAGCTGAGATCTGTATCTCTCCACCTTTGTATGTCCCAGACACGTCCCCACAGCGTGTACGTCACGCCTCGGCGCTCGTCGACGATAACGACCCAGACAACAGCACCATCAGCCAGTCTGTTGCCATGGCGATAGCTGGCTCACCACTCCCCCATTCCAAAGCCAACCCCTTCACTCTGCCTTCAGTGGTGAGTACCTGCTCACTGACCACTATTAATAACTCATGTTACGAATATGAATGAAGGTTGTGAATTTTTTAATTTTTGAACTCTAATGTATGTTTAGGTTAATGTTTTTGAAAGAAGTCTCTTATGGCTGCATTTATTTGATCAAAAATACAGTAATATTGTGAAATACTATCACAATTTCAAATAACTATTTTCTAGTTTAATATATTGTAAAATGCCATTTATTCTTGAGATGAATTTTCATCAGCCATTACTACAGTCTTGTCAGTGTCACATTATCCTTCAGAAATCATTCTAATAGGCTGATTTGTTGCTCAAGAAACCTTTATTATTATCATCAATGTTGAAACCAGTTGTGCTGCTTATTTCTATGGAAACTTTTTTTTTTTATCAATAGAAAGTTACAAAGAACAGCACTTATTTGAAATATAAATATTTTGCAACATAATAATGTAACTTATGTCTCAGAAATCATTCTAATAGGCTGATTTGTTGCTCAAGAAACCTTTATTATTATCATCAATGTTGAAACCAGTTGTGCTGCTTATTTCTATGGAAACTTTTTTTTTTATCAATAGAAAGTTACAAAGAACAGCACTTATTTGAAATATAAATATTTTGCAACATAATAATGTAACTTATGTAAATTTAATGCATTCTTCTTGAATAAAAGTATTAATTTCTTTCAAAAAATATTACTGACACCAAATTTTTGAGAACTGTGGCAGTGACCAATTCATATTAAGCCTTGGTGCTCATACAGATAATGCAGGTTCAATTCTGGCCTGCAACATGCCCTGGTCCTATTCCCTTAATCATTTTAAAGTACTTGCATCTTTATCTAAAGCCCCAAAATAAGAAAATATTTTTCTTACTTTTTAGAAATAAGCTATATTTATGCACATAAATGTTCCACATCTTTTCCCCATGCTGTTGCTCTAGTGGAATAAATAGAAAGCGTAAACAACAGAAATAGAGTTACTTGTCATAGTGCATGGACTTTTGGAATTTTCCCTCACAGCTGCATTATCTTAATAGCACCACTAGAGGAGCCCTTCATATTCACTCCTGTCCATTCTGTTGGCAGCAGTACTGCTCTCCACCACTAGAGGGGTGTACTCTGCTCTGACGGTGTACAACAGGGTTTCCTGGTTATTAGTAAATATTAATGGCTTGTGTATGGCTGAGGAAATGAGGATCATGTTTGTCTAAGTGTTTATTATACATATGGGTGTGTAAGGACATCCTCTGTATATGTCTGTCCCAAACAGGCTGCCGGATGTGGTCTAAGCAGGTTGGCTTTGTTGTGTTTCGTCTGTATGAGTGTATTTGTGTAGTGCAAATGTGTTTTTGTTATTTTTCTTCGTCAGGCTGGCCGTCAGTGTAGCACCCTCTCTGCAGAGTGCAGCAGGATGCTGCTGGTTTGTTTTCTGTGGGTGTTGAAGAATGCAGACGCGGGGTTGTTGGAGCGCTGGGTCTCAGACCTGTCTGTGCCACAAATAAACCGCTTGCTTGATCTTCTTCACCTCTGTCTGTCCTGTTTCGAATACAAGGTACATCCACATGCCCTTCTCAAGTAATGACTCTTTGGTATTTAGAAACATGGTCCATCCAGTCACAGTGAGATAGTAGGATTGATCCTGTTTTATCTTAAATACCAAAGGAGCAATAAGAGTAAAATGCAGGCCAATCAAACATCATGTTGCACTTGACACTTTGTATATTCTCCCAAAGGATATGCATATCCTTCCGAACACTTTTTAAAATCTGGAAAAATCAGGGTATTTTAAAGACATTTTCAGGGCTGTATATTATTTATACTAATAGTACCATATTTATTTGCAAGCATTACATTATATTCTATATTTTCTACTGAAATAAATAGTTTAATAAATAATGTTTTAGAACTTGAAAATGCAATATATAAAACATGTTCTCACAGTTTGAGATCTATGCAATCAACTTTCAACTTTTTTTTTTCCCCACAATGTAATTATTTACAAAGAGGCTGTGTTGTGCATGTGGCAGTTTAAACCTATATTTGGCTGAACTGAGGGGAAAAATACACAAACAATATGGCATGACCTCTTTAAAATTCAGAAAAATAACTTGGACCTGGAGTTTGGAAGTCGCTTCTTATGTTACACCTATTCCTCTGACACATTCAGGAATTTTTACTTTATATTGTGCATTTTTGTGTTGCATGTTAACATGTTTTTGTATATCCTTTTCATTGTGCCTGTTCTCAGGGGAAGAAAGCCCTGCAGAGGATAAACAGTCTGACCTTTAAGAAGTCTCAGGACATGAAGGCCCGTCTGGAAGAGGCCATACTGGGCACCATCGGAGCAAGACAGGAGATGGTCCGTCGCTGCAGAGGTACAACAGGTGCTCTGTTGGTATGTGTGCGAGTAAATGTCAAAGCATTGAATTTGTCATTCACCTCTGTTCCTGTGTGTTCCTCAGAGCGCAGTCCTTATGGAGGTCAGGAGAACGTCCGCTGGAGGAAAAACGTCACTCACTGGAGACAGAACGCAGACAGAGTGGACAAGTGTGTCTTTTTTCCTCTTCTCTTACGTAGTATCTTTTCGTTGCTGGTCACGTTCACTGACAACTAAATAATGTTGCTCTAGCTGTCCATTGACTTAATGAAGCACATAATCACACATGGACAGTTGTGTGTGTGTGTGTGTGTGTGTGTGTGTGTGTGTCATGGGCACTATGAATAGCTCACTGTAAACACTGTCTCTGTGCAGGACCAAAGCAGAGGTGGAGCAGGAGTCGGTAGTGGATGGAAACTTGGCGACAGAAGCTGCTCTCATAGCCCTGGACACACTGGAGATCATTGTCAAAGTAAAGTAGACTTTGTCCCTCTCATTTGAATGCATTTACTACAGATACCATGTGTTACGACATGTCATTTTCACGTAGTTCATAAGTGTTTGTGTGTGTTTTTGCATCAGACGGTGGTGATGTCAGAGCTGAAGGAGAGTGTGTTGGTTGGTGTGCTGAGAGTCCTCCTCCACAGTATGGCAGGAAACCAGAGCGCCCTCTTCCTGCAGCACTGCTTCAGCACTCAGAGAGCTTTGGTCTACAAGGTTTGTGTTTGTTGTTAACAGTGCTTGTTCATCCCTAACCCTGAGTACTGAACATTGGTGCAAAAGCCATCCTGCACTTGGGTAATCTGACATAATATTATAGAATTATATCATTATATATCATTATATAATTGTATAAATTTTACCATTTATTTGATGAAAAATACAGTAAAACAGTGATTTTTTTAATAAAAGTGAATATTACTATCATTTAAAATAACTGTTTTCAATTTGAATGTTAAAATGTAATTTATTCCTGTGACGCAAAGCTGAATTTTCAGCATCTTTACTCCAGTCTTCAGTGTCACGTGATCCTTCAGAAATCATTCTAATATGCTGATTTGCTGCTCACGAAACATTTCTTATTTAAAAAAATAAGTTTAAAAAATGTAGTTCAAAAGAACAGAATCATTTGAAATAGAAATCTTTTGTAACAACATGTATACGTGTATGTTTACTCTCACTTTTGAATATTACTGACCTGAAACTTTTGAACTGTAGTGAACTTTTGAACTTAAGAAACCCATTAAAGAAATCCACTCCATCACTAATGAAAAACACAAGAACACAGTACAAACTATATAGAAACGTCCTGGCGATCACAGACAACATCCTTACATTGTTACACTGAGGCTACATTTACACGACAACGATGTAGTCAAATACGGAAACGTTTTTAAAAAGTTTCACGTATACACGTGAAAACGACCAAAAACGAGCAGCAACAACAGTAACATGTACTCCGCCATTGTTGTGTATGTTTGTTCGCGCTTGCCTTTAAAATCGACACGTACTACGCATGTCTACATACCTAACACGTACTACGCACGCGTGTGACGTCACCATTTTCAAAGATTCCCGTTTTGGGTGTTTACACGGAAACGACAACGGTGGCGTTTTCAAAAACGTGCACTTTGAAACCCGTTTTCAAAAATATGCGTTTTCAGTCCCCAAAACGCTGTTGTCATGTAAACGAACAGGCAAAACGCATAAAAAGTTTCCTGTTTTTGGCTGAAAATGTTGTCGTGTAAACGGCCCCTGAGATTTTGCAGACTTGTACCACTCAAATTTTCAATGATTTTCAAAATCATCGTCATTCAATAAACCAACTTGAAACTTTAAGACCTTATTTTACATAGTTCACGAAGGAAATTGTAGAAGAAACTAAGCTTTGCACGTGTGTTTCTGTAGTTCCCGGAGATGTTGTTTGAGGAGGACACTGAGCTCTGTGCAGATCTGTGTTTGCGGTTACTGCGTCACTGCAGCAGCAGCGTGAGCTCTGTACGCAGCCACGCCAGCGCCTCCCTCTACCTGCTCATGAGACAGAACTTTGAGATTGGCAACGTAAGGCACAATGTCACATTAAACTCCTATCCTTGATTCAGCTTTCCCTATATATAAATATGATCAACTAAATCCTGTGTCTTCTCTGCTGTTCTGTAGAATTTCGCCCGTGTGAAAATGCAGGTCACCATGTCTCTGTCTTCACTCGTGGGAACCTCGACGAAGTTCAATGAAGAGCATCTGCGACGCTCTTTAAAAACTATTCTCACATATGCCGAGGATGACCTGGAGCTCAGAGATTCCCCCTTCCCTGAGCAGGTATCAAACACTTGGATCGGAGGTGGTAGCTAAAAGGTTGTTGGTTCGAATCCCACAGCGGATGAAAACCCAACATCCACCACTACTGTGCCCTTTAGTGATCGATAAACACTTTGTATCTGCTAATGATTATGCTAAAGTAGGTCACTTCAGGGTTATTATCGACAACTAAAACCATAAAACATTGATATTGAAATAAAATAAACTGAAATAACAAAATTAAAAAAAACATATTATTGTTTTATTTCAGCTATTTGCCAAGGCAGCATTTCTCATTTCCACACAACACACAACAAATGCTTAAAAAACATTCAAATTAAAGTGAAAACAGAAAATATAAAAATAAAATCTAATTCAAAATAGTAACAAAAACTATAATACTCAGTCACTTTTCTTCTGTCATCTTTGTAGGTACAGGATCTCGTCTTCAATCTCCACATGATTCTCACTGACACTGTGAAGATGAAGGAGCACCAGCAGGACCCAGAGATGCTTATAGACCTCATGTACAGGTCAGTGCTTTGTTATCATAAAAACCAAAGGACATTTAATGTGGCTCGTGTGCTACATTTAAACATGGCTCTTCTCTGTGTGTAGGATTGCTAAGGGCTATCAGAACTCTCCTGATCTGAGACTCACGTGGTTGCAGAACATGGCAGGGAAGCACTCAGAGAGAGGGAACCACGCGGAGGCAGCGCACTGTCTGGTGCATAGCGCCGCCCTGGTGGCAGAGTACCTCAACATGCTTGAAGATTGCCGCTACCTCCCTATCGGCTGTGTGTCATTCCAGGTAGATCCTGTGTGTTTGTGTTTGAATATATGGTTTATGAGGACACAAATGTGTATAAAGGCATGGGGTATTACAGCGTAAACATGGTTTATGAGGACACTTCCTGTGTTTAGAAGTTTAACTTGAAATACTAATTTTACTAAAAATTAAATAAGTTAAAGCTGTGTAGGAATATTAAAAAAAACGAAGGAAAATGAAAAAGCACATAACAAAATTACTAAAACTTAAACTACAAGTAAAAATATAACAGTAAAAGCTCATTTAAAATAATAAGAAATACCATAATAGTATATATATAATGCTATAAAAAATAGTATATACACAATGGTTGTTTCATCTCATCATTCCCACGAATGAAAAATCAGGGATTTTTTTTTTTTTTTTTAGTGGTCAGGTCTGGAAAAGTTTGAAATGAAGTATTTTGTGATTTTACTCAATAAAAATGTAATTTATATAGCATTACAGTAGTTTTTTATACTAATAATAGCATAATTATTTGCAAACATTATATTATGTAAAATAATACATATTTATAATATTTTAACTAATACATTTGAAATCATTTAAAACATTTTAATGAAGTAATATACAATTTAATCAATTGAACATTTTTAATACATTTTAATAAAGTTTAATAAGTAAGTAATATTTCGTATACTGAGAGGAATTTATTGAAAATGCAAATGTAAAGCACATTCTCACTGGACCCTTTGCTCATTTGATAAAAATTTTACAAGAATTGATGATACATTTTGTGGATTGTTTCACAGAGTATTTCGTCCAATGTGCTGGAGGAGTCTGCGGTGTCTGATGATATTCTGTCCCCAGAGGAGGAGGGCATCTGTTCAGGGAAGTACTTCAGTGAGTCTGGGCTTGTGGGACTTCTGGAGCATGCAGCTGCTTCGTTCAACATGGTGAGAGCTCACGTCACATCCCTCCCCCCACAGTCATGGAAACTGAGTGCATCCAAGGGATTAGACTCGTATCCAAGCCAGCGCCACACATTTTTATGGGATTATTAAATATTAACTGAAGGTTGACTGTAGATTCTGTCTCTCCTCCAGGCTGCCATGTACGAGGCCATAAATGAAGTCTACAAAATCCTTTGTCCCATTCACGAGGCCAACAGAGACTTTAAAAAGCTCGCCTCTGTCCACGGCAAGCTGCAGGATGCCTTCAACAAAGTATACAATCAGGTTTGTTGACACGGGAAGTTTGTTAAAGAGCTGAACGTGTCTACAAGTAGCTCCAAACAATCTTACACTGTTTCAGGAGTCAGTTTGTTGAATGACTATTAAATTTCAGCAATATTCATTGTACACTCTTAAATAGCAGTTTGTTATTTCTCGTAATAGTAAAAAATTATAAATCCTTTATTACCTGCTATACTTTGTCCATTATATAACCACAGTAGTAAATAGTTATGGAATAGTAATAAAATAGTAATACTTTTTTTTTTTTTTAGATTATGTGAATAAGTTTCTGCATTAGGTGAAACTGGGCTACTGGACAAAAATCATTGAGCTGATTCATTATTAAAAAAGTATTTATCACTCCATTAATCATGTTACATACAGTATATCCTGATCTTATCAGCAGCTTCTAAATGTAAGCACTACTTGAAACATGAATAGCTCATGGGAGAATTCTGCATTCCTGATTTTAAATATGCAATCATAGATAGTTTCCTATAATTATTTAATTTCGTAATACCTGCAAACTCTTTACCTTTCAGTGAAATTCACCTTTCTGACATTTGAAATAGGCCATTTGTGTGCTTTGTGCACATCTGGGGAATTTCATTCGGGGAGGCTTATATGAAAGTGTAATATCTTACCTCTGTATGATGCCTATTAAAGCGTTTATAAACGCAGCTCTGCGTTGTATACAGGGGTAACGGCTGTATTTCTGCTTTTACAAAAGCACCACCTGCTGTCAAAGAGCAAATTTAGTTGAATTTACATCTGCCGTTTGTATTCAGACCAATTAAATAATCATTTATTAGGCTGATATGTGAGGTTTATCATTTTACATAACTTTTTATTTTTGTCAAAACTTGATTATTTGAACTCTAAAGTTGTTTAAATATATAGTTCAGTCATGAAACTCTAGATGGCGCATTCTGATGGGGTGTTAACGTAACTGATGATATACAGAGAGTTAAACGACTTGGCACAAGCTGATTGGTTCATGCTGCATATGTAGCCAATGAGCTTACTGCCTGCAGCACGCTTTCAGAGTTCTCTGAAACCTTCCACCTTCCCCAGCTCCACCTGTATAGATCTGCTACGGGGTTATTTTATATGCTATTTGTGCAGCATCAGTATGTCTTAAATACTCATGGCACCGTATCGCCATATGCATTGGAAGTAGCATGTTCCTGTACTTGCTTGCAGCAGAAGCAATAATCTACAACTACCGCTATAACCAACAGCAGCAGCAATTCAGCAGCAGCGTAGCAGATCTGTTCCGCCAAGACCAAATACATTAACATTGTCATATCCATCACCATGCTAAAATGTTCAGAGAGTTGTCATGATTGAAATCATAGTTTCTACGGTTTATGATGTTATGCAGGTATGTTTGTATTTTAATTTTATTAAGTTAATAATAATTTATTGTACCAAACTAGCATTTTATTACTTGTATTTCACAGCTGTAGTAGCTATATACAGAGAATTTTAAATGATTTGTGCTCAGGATGAAGCCAGTCTTGTGCCGAGATCCGGACCACAGACATTAGTTGCTGAGCTTTTGTGTAAAGCTCTGTGTGTGTGTGTGTGTGTGTGTGGTTTAGATGTTTGACTGATGTCTTTTCTCTGTCTTGTCGGTGATGATGTGTCTCCTGCTGTGTCCGCACACAGAGCTCAGGATGGGAGGTATGGCTGATCGATCACACTGTGCTTCAGTATTTATCAGTACCATATGTTGCAGAGGGAATTTTCTCCCACACAGAAACTAACTGTCTCTGGTCTTTATCTCTTTTTATTTCTCCATCGGTCTCCCCGTGTGCGGTCTGGATGTTTTCCTGGTGAGTGAACATGAACTTGGTTACCAAACATAAAATTCAAGCTGTTCCATGCCTCTGTAAGGTTCACTGTCTCTGACACATTTATGTAAGGCCATTTCACAAGAATGGCAAAAGTCAGTGTTGTCCTAGAGCACATGTGCATGCATTCAGATCCATAAACCCATCCTCCATGCCATCAGTGTTGTGCCTTTAGGCCTGATGTGGCTGAAACAGACGAAAATTGTGTTATTTAGGCTTTTATGTGACATGCCATGCTCTTCTCTCTTCTTACATGCATCTCAATTGTTCCTGTCCTAACTGTTCAGGCCATAGAGGATGTTTGGCACCTACTTCCGTGTGGGCTTTTATGGATGCCGCTTTGGCGATCTGGATGAGCAGGAGTTTGTCTATAAAGAGCCTTCCATCACCAAACTAGCCGAGATCTCACATAGACTGGAGGTTTGTTTCTAAGTCTGGAGTGCTAATATCAAAATAACAATATTTATATTTTAATAATAATAACAACTATTATTATTATTAGAAGTAATTATGTTTAATAATATTAGTAGTAATTACATTTTTACATTTAATTTTTAATAATTATAAATATTCATTTAACATTTTAAAGTTTTTTTTTTAATTTGATCTGTTTTACATTATTTCTAAAATACTTTTTTTTTTTTTTTTTTTTTTTTTTTGTTTTTTTTTATATTTTTAATTTTTTTTTTTTTTTTTATTATTTTTTTTTCATTATTTTTTTTCATATGTTTGAAAGTGTTCTACATTTTAAAGGACAAAGAAAAAAACACTTTACAATTTATATAAATTTATATAAATAGTTCAGGGGATACAAATCGTGGGACCGTGGTCTGAAAAGTGGTTTACCTGTTGACTCTGTGCCTCTCAGATGCTGCTTTTAAAGGGGTCATATGATGTTGCTAAAAAGAACATTATTTCGTGTATTTGGTGTAATGAAATGTGTTTATGAGGTTTAAGGTTCAAAAAACACATTATTTTCCACATGCTGTACATTATTGTTTCTCCTCTATGCCCTGCCTTTCTGAAACGTGTCGATTTTTACAAAGCTCATCGGTCTGAAAAGCAAGGTGTGCTCTGATTGGCCAGCTATCCAGTGCGTTGTGATTGTGACGGAAATGTTACGCCCCTTACCATACTGTGATGCTGTGTCCCGGCGCTACAAGACAAAAACAATAAAACCCATTATAAACGAGGCATTTGTTGCATCCAGTGGGGACATAATTACTGATTATAATGACTTATACTGTCTTTTTAAACATTGCATTGCATCACGCCACGTAAACAAAACCATGTCTGCATTTGTGATCAGAGAAATGACAAACAACAAGCACTACTCTACACTGCTCAAAACTCGCGTTTGAATCGTCAGTGGCAAATTCTTTAAATATGAAAACGTACTTACAGGCTGTGAGTCAGAACAGCCGGCACTGTAGTCTACTCTCCCAGGATCAGGAAACAGTCCTCCATAAAATGTGCTGCACGCGTCTGAATATTTGGGTTGAACTGCTCTGGAACAGTGTTGTAAATACAACTTAACCATTGATTTCTAGTCGTGTCCTCTTTTGGAAGACCAAACAAAGTAGTTTCACTTTCGCAACGAAACACACGGCGGCAGCAGCAACAATAAAGTTACGCCTTCTTTCTTTGCGTGAACATTTGGGCGGTGTTATGCAAATCTTCCCACACAGTGACGTAGGTATGTGGGGGCGTGTTAGAACGAGCCGTTTTAGGTGGGCGTGGACAAGTCTTAACTTTTATAAAGAATATCTCTTTGGGTTTGAGACTTTAGTCTTTGCAACTTTAGGGATCTTATCTATTTACGAACAGCTTGTAACACTCCAAAGAGAAAGGAAAACTTGAAATCGCATCATATGACCCCTTTAATATGATAATTTGTAAGGGTTATGCTTTCTTTTGTAGGAATTTTACGCTGAACGATTTGGTGACGACATGGTGGTGATCATCAAGGACTCCAACCCTGTTGACAAGAACAAACTGGACCCCAATAAGGTCAGATATTACCGCTAGTGCAAGACTGAAGGCTTTTTTATCAAATAAAAATTTTAATTGAGTTTTATTTTTATATTTTCAGTTTTCAAAATTAGTTTGCCATTTTATGTAATTAAGTAATTTTTTAAAATACATTTTTAATATTTATATTTTGTTTTATTTCTTTTTCAATTATAGTTTTAGTCATTTTAGTACTTAAACTTATTTTGTTTAGTTTAGTTTATTTACTTAAGGTGACATTTCTAAATTTTACCTTTTGTAGGTTTACTTTCCATCTAATATTGACATTTTATTTCAGCTTAATTTCAAAATAAATTTTTTTTAATAGTTTATTTTTAGTTAAGAATAACAACACTGATTCGTTTTTAGAATATTTAGATCTGAAACTCTTTTTGACCCCTATAACTGTAGTTTTGTACATATGTTCTCCATATTGAACAGTGCTGTGTATGTTTATGTTACCCAGGCATACCTACAGATCACATACGTGGAGCCCTTCTTCGATACTTATGAGCTGAAGGAGCGCATCACATACTTTGACAAGAACTATAACCTGCGCACGTTCATGTACTGTACGCCGTTCACGCTGGACGGTCGGGCCCACGGCGACCTGCACGAGCAGTACAAGCGCAAGACCTTCCTCACCACCTCCCACGCCTTCCCCTACATCAAGACCCGCATCAACGTCATCCACAAAGAGGAGGTGTGAAACACTGTAGTTTTGGAGGTTCGTAAATTGCCTCAAGACCGATTTTCTAAATATTTTTCCTCCTCCCTACAGATCATTCTGATGCCGATGGAGGTGGCGATTGAGGATATGCAAAAGAAAACACAGGAACTGGCCTTCGCGACCCATCAGGACCCTGCTGACCCAAAGATGCTCCAGATGGTGCTTCAGGGTTGTGTTGGCACCACTGTTAATCAGGTAACATTTAGATGAAATAGTTTCTTTTTCCAGCATGTTGGTTTGTTTATGGATCTGAACCTGTACATGTTGTCACAAAGGGTCCGCTGGAGGTGGCTCAGGTCTTCCTGTCTGAAATTCCTGAGGACCCCAAACTCTTCCGGCATCACAATAAACTGCGCCTCTGCTTCAAAGACTTCACTAAAAGGTGGAGTGACTTTTATGCACACATCCTTGCACACAAGCATGCTCACTTTTTCAGTTGGAAACGTTTAGGTAGCGATTAATTTTAATTAGTTTATCAGTGCATTGATTAAAAATCCTGCCAGTGCAACTGCATCAATTTTTGACCAACAAAAGTGATTTAAAGTAGAGTACAATATTTAAAAATTAATATATATTATTTTACATAAGGCAGCAGTGTTTTACAATTTTTCTTTTCTGAATATTTTTATTAAGTATTGCTTAACTTATTTTTGGAGCAATATACAGTGGGGCAAAAAAGTATTTAGTCAGCCACCAATTGTGCAAGTTCTCCCACTTAAAAAGATGAGAGAGGCCTGTAATTTTCATCATAGGTATACCTCAACTATGAGAGACAAAATGAAAATTTTGTTATTGACCAAATACTTATTTTCCACCATAATTTGCAAATAAATTCTTTAAAAATCCTACAATGTGATTTTCTGGATTTTTTTTTCCTCATTTTGTCTCTCATAGTTGAGGTATACCTAGGATGAAAATTACAGGCCTCTCTCATCTTTTTAAGTGGGAGAACTTGCACAATTGGTGGCTGACTAAATACTTTTTTTCCCCACTGTACTTATTTTTCCTGCTTAAGATACATACTAATAAAAAGTATTTTGAGATTTGTCAAAAAGTATTTGACCACATTACTGAATTAAACAGTTCAGTATATCAACTTTGATTGAATCATGCTGAATTTAGAAAATTTGCAATTCAATCAAGTTAAAAAGCAGTGAATCACGAATCAAATTGATTTGCTGTCAACCCCAAGTTTCACACCCCTAGTCTTATGTGGCCTCGGTTTGGATCTTTATGGTCCTAGACATGGCAGCAGTCTATTTCCAACATGCTAAAGCTGCCAATTACCTAAACCACAGATCAGCATGGTATCTTCCCATGGCTAAGAATGAAGTGAACGAGTGATTGAATGTTTGAAATGAATCCTCCAGTTAAATCAGCATTTTCTGTTTTGCAGTTCTTTAAAATGGACAGCCTTTTCTTGGACTGACAGTTTTGGGTCTGTTGTGCATTGAACCTACTAACTGCAATGTTCTTGACTCAGGTGTGAGGATGCTCTGAGGAAGAACAAGTCTCTGATCGGTCCAGATCAGAAGGAATACCATCGAGAGCTGGAGCGGAACTACACTAAACTGAGAGAAGCCTTGTTTCCTCTTATCAACCGGAAAATCCCTCAACTCTACAGACCACTGCCTCTGCCAACCACACCAACACAGAGGTAACATCACAAACTCCTCACTCATGCAAACACCAGCCCCTCAGGTGGGGTTTATCTGAAATCGATTATACACAGGTCATAGCAGCCTGGTTACTTGAAAACTAAACCCATCAAACTAATTAAAAATCTGTGCACCCTGACTCTGGCAAGTTGTTTAGCAGCCATTTTTGTGTTTATAATGTGCATGAGACCGTTTATGAACATGCTGTTTGAGGCTGAGACTGTGCACTAATATGGTGTTACATCTACATTCAATAAATAACATAAAATAATAGAAAATCATATATTGTATAATTAATAAATTTAAAAAAAGCAGTTTTGAAGGTGTCTGTTCACTTTTTGTTTAAAAATTTTTCTAATATACAGTTGTATTTGCATTTAATAAATACTACTAATGTGTATAATTAACAAAGTGAAAGCATTTTTGTGTCTGTTCAACTAATATACAAATATTAAATAATAATAATAATTAAAATATATAGTTATGTGTACATTCAATAAATATTAATGATGCTTCTAATAATAAATAATAAATACACATAAATGTAAATATTTTTAATAATAATAATACAATTAAATAACAGAAAATTAAATATGGTATAATAAATAAAACAAAAGCATTTTTGTCAAGTAACATGTTTTTCCTCATCCTGGGGGGATTTCCCAAAATCACCAGAAGTTATTTATCCAAATCATGGATCTGTTCTTGCTCATCTTTCCAGGAATTCTCTCAGTCGATCCAGTTTTCGGCGGGTGGACTGCTGAGGTGTGGCAGAGCCGAGCGCGGGTGGATGTAAAGCCAGACATGATCTCCCGCCCCATCATTCAACCCCCCTAAACCACACACTAAAACACACTCCACATTCCTCTCTCAGGCACAAGCCTTCCTGAGCCAGTCTCTCTCTCTCTCTCGGAGGAGGAGCTTCAGTCTGTTTACTCTGAGAGGTTATCTGCTGTAAACAGAGTCATTATGATCTTCATGGGCACAGCAGCATAACCGGTCAAAGTAGTCATCAGTAGAGAAAAACGAGCTACTTGCTCAATATCGGAGGTAATTTTAGGTTCTAACCAGCACAGGGCATTCAGATGCTCCTCTGCATTTCCTCCTTTTGTTTGTTTGTGCTGTCTTTCTCTGTCTCGTGCACTTGTGTGAGTGTGGGAACAATATGAGCCACAGTCCTTCCAGGCATTTGTGTGTGTGTGAATCTGTTGCCACATGAAAACTTGTAGTGCAGTTTGATTTATCTGCTTGCTTGTGGATTAAAACATTTGTAAAAGCTGTCTTTTTGAAGACTAACCACTGACAGGCTGAGCCCAGAGACTAACTCACTCAGAGAAGACGGGTTTAATCTTTCACTTCATTTGCGCAAACTGTTTTTAAAACTCATTCTGCTGTTGGCTCAAGCAGTGATTGTAGATAAGCCACAAAAAGAAAAAAGGCTGGATTTGTTTCAGAACTGTAGAATGTATATAGGAGAGATCCCTGGATCATTCTTTGGATGCGTGTCCCTTTAGGTAACGGAGGAAGCATATAAGTCATTAATATAGTCATTAACTGTGGAAAAGTTTCACACTGAACTAACAAGAGAGCACACTAATGTTCTGCACTGACTGCTTTGAGTTTTTACTGCCACTGCTGCACCGAATCCTACTTTCAGACACAAAGGTGTTTTAATGTAAATGCACAGTAATGTAATATATACTATCTAGTATCCACGTTATGCACTAGTATGTAAACTGGAAAAAGGAGAATGATTTAGATCTTGTTGAATGTAAATAATGTCCTGAACAAGCAATACTTTTGCCTACCTACTATAGTTGGACTGCTGTAATATCCATGCACTATTTTAATGTTTGTATGACCTCTACTGCCTGTCTCGACACTATACTGTGCAAATTGCTATTTACTGTACACTGTATTTTTAATGACCAAAATATTTATTTTTATGTTTTTCCCTTTTCTCTTCCGATTTTACTTTTTATATTAAAATACATTTCTCCTATTTTGTTTAACAGTAGCTTTATTTAAGCGTTTATGTATAGATGTAGATGCGCACACATACCGGTAATAAATGTAAATAAATGTGTCTTAATGTATTATTAATCAATTCAAATATTATTTACAGTATAATCATTCTCTGTATTGTAAATAATATTTTTTTAATATTTAGATATTAAAAACTTCAAGTGGTTATGTATAGATAGACACATTAAATATAAATAAATGAATGTGTATTATTTATCTTATTAATAAATGAAAAATATTTACAATGTTCATTATATAGTAAAAATATCAATATAATAAAAGCTTTAAGCATTTATGTATACAGATATAGACACACAATGTAAATATTAAATGTGTATTATTTATATTAACAAACTATTCAGTCTCTATATAGTAAATAATAATTTAAGATATTTAAAAAATATGAATGTATTAAAATGTACTAATAGATGGTTGAAGATATTTCTTTAAAACCTTTATCGAACCCTCTTCTCACATGCAGCTCTTATTAATCTCCTCACAGCTTGATTGTCTGCTTCTCAAAACGACCTCCATATGGTTAACGTGTCATTGATATGTAAGGAGACAAAGAAAAAACGCGCCTGTCCATCTGCGAGCTAATAACAAATGAATATGATCATAATGGCGCTTTACAGTCCGTGTGGACGACGGATGTCCTCGCCTTTACCGTGGGTCGGTCTGAAACGGCATATCCCGAGCAGCACTTCACCAGCGTTAATTACAAGATTGCAATACAGCAATTCAGTATGACCGCATTAAAGCTGAATTTAATACTAATGAATGATTTTCGATGTTTCCCGACCGTCTGTAATATTTAATAATTATGAGGACGCGTGTTGTTTCTCGCGTTGCTGAACTAATTGCTCTATATTGCGTGGACCGTTCAAGTGAAAATAAGAAGAGCAAATATTTGATGAGGATAATGGGATTAAAGGAAGAGTGGACGCATGTGTTGGCTCTTTAAGAGCAGAGGGAGGGGTTCGCTTCATGGGTTGGCTGCGGTGTTTTTGTCTCTGTCAGTGAGACTGCTGGCCTTATCGACTGAGGGGACTGGAAGGGGGTAGGTGACAATACACACATGCCTTATATGCTTAACCTTGTGGTTTTAACGGGGAAAAAACATAGTTATACAGTATTCGCGGGGTTTTATACACTGGGTTTTCCTTTTGCTTTCATGGTTGTGATGCTTCAGTCTTTGTGCTGCTCGATTTTACTGTGAGTTGCAAAGTAACGGTACTACGATGGGGATTCACCATTTAAGACGGACTTATTGCTATTATATGACTCGCTTCTAGAGTTAATGTTGCATTTATTTAAAAACCAATGCTCGCTTTTATTGGTTGATGTACATTAGGCATATGGAAATGGAAAAGCATTATATGTTTATATATAAACACACTATGCCTTGACAGTGTGATCCTGAGAGTTCAGATACACGCGTGTGGAATTATTTTTAGTTCATAAGGAATATTATCAGCTGATTATTAAAAAAACATTTGAAGTGTTAAAAAACGAATGAAATCTGGGTTCATTTGCGGGCGCGCGCGCCTTTTTGTTATAGTCAAAGCAGGTCATTAAAGCACCTTTTTTATGTGTTTATCGTAATATACTTCTTTTGTAAATCACGCATTTAAATAGGCTCGACGGAGATGATGGGTAAATGAGTGCTGAAGGCGGTCTGGGGTAAATTCTTCATTAAATAAAAGCCCTGACTCTGGGGAGAGGGTGGGGAGAGTTTTTCATGACTTCCAGATGTTCCTCACTTTGCTGCAGTGGTTGTGAATTCACGGGCCTTGGTTTGGTTGGCCAGAAACTGTTGGGCTTCACACGCGCGCTTTAATGTCTGATTTAAATGAGCATGTTACTGATTGTGAAACACCTCTTGAACTGGAGAACGTGTGGAAAAAAAGAGCGAATAACAACTATTCAGCTCAGTAAGCTTACGAAACTTATAATAATGTTTTAGTTGTAGTTTGGTGATTACTTTAGTCATTAACTGTGACATTAGACGTTTTTTATTACTATGTTGTTTTAGTCACGCCACGCGACTTTTTGCTTTTGGGGGTTACTTTCATTCTTTCTCGCCTGTCGTATGTCTGACAAACAGCTAGTGAGGGTTGTAAAGTGATCACAGTAGTATGCGCGAGGGGTGAAGCCGTGGAATTCCTCGCGCTGGAATGCTCAGTTATAAACCCCATTTGTAACGTGGAGCACACGCTGGGCGTGTAAATGTTGTTTGCAAGACTAATAAAATGAGCGCTTTTAATTTCCTTTAATTGTTGGTGTTTCTCAGCGTGTCACTTGATGATTGACGTCCTCTCACGACCTGCCCCCCCCTCAAGTAACCTCACTAAGGCTCCAGTATCTCACACACATCTACTCTTAGATGATCTCAGCTGTGCTTCAGACACAAGTGCTTGCTCTCCAAACTCATTTTATAGCCTTTGTAGCTTGCTATATTGCAGAAACTGTCTTCTCATTAGTGACTTTTGTAGTTTTACAGAGGTTTTTTTTTTTTTTTTCAGAAAATGCTCCTGATATACTGAAACATTATTTCTCCTGAGCGTCCTCTGGGCAATATGGACCTGTATGGCAGTGGGCAGCATTTGGTCTGATTCTCAGCAATTTTATGGCTTGGCATGTTCACTTTAACTTACCCCCAGCAGGCATTATTCTGCTTGATAGGTGTGTAAAACTGGCTGTCACTTTAAATGTGATGTTCAAGTCATCCAACAATAATCGAGCACGCAAACAGTCAGTGTAATTCTGTTCATTCAGTAATAATTTCTTTTCCTTTTTTTTTTTTGGTTCAATAGCCTGTTAGTTCCCTTGAACCGGAACATCACGCAAGGATAAAATCAGTTAAAGGGTTAGTTCACCCAAAAATGAAAATTAGCCTGTGTTTTACTTACCCTCGAAGCATCCTAGGTGTATATGACTTTCTTCTTTCAGACGAATCCAGTCGGAGTTATATAAAAAATTGTCCTGGCTATTCCAAGCTTTATCATTGCAGTCAGCGGGTGTTGCAGTTGAACAGTCCACAAGTCATCAAATAAAGCGTGCGCATTCATAATAAAACGTGCTTCATTCATAATAAAACGTGCTTCACATGACTCCGGGTGGTGAATAAAGGCCTCCAATATCCATATTTCAAACGTATTAAACACTTTTCTCTCTCTTCTGTTATCTGTCATACGCGAAGGCGTATGACGTATGCGCAGCGCTCACGTGCCTCTGAGGTATGCTAGTCTCGCGAGTTTGTTTATAGGAGCAAAGGAAGCAAACCAGTCTCCTCTTGGCTTATATCGAAATCCTCCGACATTTTTCTTTGCTAATCTTAAGTTTGTACTTTAATTCGAGACTGGCGTTTTGTTTTGTTGTCTCTCTGTATTGGTCACCAATCACGCAACGCCGACATCCTACGACATCCGCCGGAACGGCTTCCACGTATGACAGTTGGCGGAAGTGATATAAAAGTGTTTATTACATTTGAAATATGGATATTTTTCTTACAAAAACGCATGGATTCGCTACAGGAGGCCTTTATTCATTAATAGATGTATAGATCTGTCGCTACTTCCATTACATCACGACTTTAAACTCGATTTTCAACTTATTTTTTTGCCCGGATATCATGTCTGGCTGTGACGTAATACATGGTGTTCAAAAAAACACACCAGTGTTGATTACATTTTGCTTAAGGCATAATCGATTTAACCATGTTGTAATGTCGTTCATTACACAAGTCATTTTGGAAGCTTCTTGCTCCTTTGTGCAATGTATGTGCCTCGTTTTTTTTGGCCCAACAGAAAGTAAAAAACGCTTCTAATCCGGAGGAGACATTAATCTGAAGGGGAGAATGGAAATGGAGTCCCCAGAGTGAAGGTGTGTCTCAGTGTTTGTCTGCTGCATGTGTGGGACATGTGTTCTGGGGTGTGTGCTGTGCCTGCCGTGCTCGTCTAACCCAGAAATGCTCAGTGAAGTCTCTAGCAAAGATTCTGCGTAAACTTCAATGCACAGCTGTCATTTTATCGTAACTCTCTATTCAGTTATGTCATGATGTGTGATAGTTGCCCTCTGGAAAAGTTTTGGTTTCCACACGAGAGGTCTGGAATCTGGAAACAGCGAACCTGTGAACGTTCCCCATGAAATCTGCTTTACTTACTCTGTTTACATTAGTGAGCAGTGTCTCACTAACCCCTAAGTCTCCCCACCACAGCTGCCCCGACCGCAGTGATGAATCGGCACCCCTTTCATACTCATGACCTTATCGCTGCTGCATGACACTACACTTACAGCAGCTCTTTTGCTTGTCTCTTTCTTCTAAGCATTTATATTTCCTGCCAGCTTCTCCCTGCCATTCATCACCCTTAATCCCGGGTCTCGCAGGAATTTGCCATTAATTCTTTTTTGGAGGGGTAAATTTTAATGTCTGTGGTGATTCCTGTTGCCCGCCTCCACCCCGCGGGCCATTTCCTGGAGGTCAGCACAATGACCAATGGCGACGCAGCGTGTGTTCGTTCTGCTCCTGCTCTGGCGGTAAAGAGAGCAGAGAGAGGCTCCTCCCTGGGCCTTGAGCTTTGGCTTCAGGCCTTGGTGTGTCTCTGCATGCCATCGTTTTCTCCATATACCACTCCCTAATGTAAAAAACAGCTCTGTTTGTGCAGGGCATGCGGACAGTTTCCAGCATCGGTTATAACTCTCTATAAGGTCCTGGTTGGAGTCTTGCAACAGCCTATATTTATGAAGCTAGCAGGTTTGTTACGCAACACATAACCCAGCGGAAATGTCCCCAGACTGTCCACAAATTAATTTTGTACTCTTATCAACAAGATCTGGTCGCACAAGAACAGCTTTGGACCACCAATGGAGAAGTATTCCTCCCAGAACAGTTTCGCCTTTCTCGGGGTCAGAAATTAACGGGGGCAAAATGGCACCAAAAACGCCTCCCAAATTCAAGATAAGGGGAACTATTCTGTTAAGAGGCAATATTTGAATTTCTCCCCTGGAATTGATTTACAGGGGTATTTATTATAATTACTTTAATAAATGTGTGAATTTGTGTTGTCTTTTTTGTCACATATTTCCTTTTAAACCAATTACTTAATTGAAATCACTTTCAGAACAGCTGAATTTTTCCATGCTTTTTTTTTTTCCAGCTGATAAATGATAAAAACTTTAACAGCCAATCAGAGCCCGAGAACTTAAAGTGGCAGACAATAAAACTCCAGCATGCGCTTGTTAATAAACAGAACATTATCGTCCATTGGTGTGGATGCTAATAAAGTTATCTTTACAGTTATTATTCATGGGGCCTTAAGAGTTTTCAAACTTTCATAGTTAACAGACACGGCACAGTTCCAGCTTTGTCTTGTGTGTTTTCTTGAGTGGTTAGAGGAATGCACTAAATACGATCACAATCGGGACGGCTGAGCCCTTTTACACTGTGCTGAGACTCTGTTGTGTTCGCAGTATTTTTTTATGTCATTCCTGAGTTTGAAGTTTAAGTTAAGTTTTCCTTAAGCCTCATCTAGTCCTGGTGTGCTTTTTACAGCATATGGTCAGCAAAGTGCAGAAAACGTAAAGCCAATGGCATTTGAAATGACTCACGCTGGGTTTCTTATTCTGAAAGCAGCCAAAAGTATTTCTGTTCTAGACGTTTCCATTTAAATTACACCCTTTGCTGTTTTAGCCTCTCCTGGTGTCCATCCTGGACCTACACCCTTTGTCTTTCGGCTCTCCTTCCTGCTGAATTTGCTGCATTTTTGTCTGTTACTGTTTCTGTTTTTCTCTCCCTCCTTGATTTTGAAGTCTCCCCTTCGCCTTGGCTGGGAGGAAGTGACCGACTACTTTCTGGGTCTTTGGGGAACTGTAGCTGTAGCTCCCTTTCCTGTAACTCTTTCTGAACCTAAACTCATACACTGTACATACACATGTGCACACTCGTTTTCAATGGACCGTAACCCTCATGTATTTTAGAGCACAGTATCATCATCCACATCTGTCTAAAGGTCATGAACTTTTGTTGAGTACGTGCTTGACAGTGTGTTGCTTCATGTGTGGTTGGAAGGAGACGTTTGTGTTGTCGGCACTAGACATAAGTGTGTAGTCAAGTGTGTTGTCAATCTTTTTATCACCATCCACATAGTCATTATACTAAAATGACTATAGACTTTATAGTATGGTATGTATGTGACACAGTGCATGATATACAGCGTGGTGTACTGTATATACCGGAGTCTGAGACCACTTTATTTAGCATTTTTCTTATTTATATATTTACAAATTACACTATCTTTCAAAAGTTTGGGGGTAGCAAGATATTTTTTGTGAAACTGAATCGTTTTTTCCCCCCAGAAAGTATTTTCTAGAAAGCATTAAATTGATCAAACGTAACAGTGAAGACATTTATAATGTCTTTATAACAAAATATTTTAATATTAAATGAATGGTGTTCTTTTTAAACTTTCTATTAATCAAAGAATCCTGAAAAAATGTATCTCAGTTTCCACAAAAATATGACGTAGCACAACTGTTTTCAACAGTGAGAAAAAGTAAGCAAATCAGCATATTAGCATGATTTCTGAAGGATCATGTGACACTGAAGACTGAAGTAATGATGCTGAAAATTCAGCTTTGCATCCCAGGAATAAATTACATTTTATAAGATATTAAATAGAATACAGAAAACATTCATTGTAATAATATTTAACAATATCAATGTTTTCACTGTATTTTTAAATAAATAAATGCAGTCTTGGTGAGCATAAGAGACTTTTTATTTTTTAAGTTTTAAAAAATCGTATCAATCATAACTTTTTAACGGTAGTGTAGATTATCATCATACCATTTTGAGCAAAAAGTTAACAGTGACTTTTTGGTTTCTCACCTTTTTTCTTTAATGAAAACAGCACTCCAGCTGCACGTAAAATGTCTATTTTATATCAGTGTTTCTTGTTTTAAATTTTTATTTAAATTAGGTTTTCAAATTTTAATATTTCGAATCTCAATTTTTTAACTCCACTATATCTTTACGTCATCAAAATAAAATGGCAATGTCTATTAACTCACTACAAATTTACTCATAAACCACTAGTGAATACATCCAGAAAAAGAAACTGCGGATTAAAAAACACTCCAGCTGCACGTAAAATGTCTATTTTATATCAGTGTTTCTTGTTTTAAATTTTTATTTAAATTAGGTTTTCAAATTTTAATATTTCGAATCTCAATTTTTTAACTCCACTATATCTTTACGTCATCAAAATAAAATGGCAATGTCTATTAACTCACTACAAATTTACTCATAAGCCACTAGTGAATACATCCAGAAAAAGAAACTGCGGATTAAAAAAAGTTTATGGTTACGGTAAGATACTCTTTTTGTTTTCCAGAAAGAATGGGACTTTCTTAGCAGTGGGCAAATGAGAAGCATTACGTGTGTTTTAATGGCAGTCTCTCTCTCTCTCTCTCTCTCTCTCTCTCTCTCTCTCTCCTCCCTGGCTGCATTATTTGATTTGGGGTCTGGCTGTGCGAGATAGGTAGCATGCTGATTATTTTCCTTTTTTCCAGTTGCCTTTAAAGAACAGTTGTTAATCAGCAGATATGATAAAAGGCATGACAGGATGCGTCGTTAAACTTAAAACGGCGCTTCTTTTGTTCCCCGCCACCAAACATAAATATCCAAGCTTTTCGTTTGGCTAGTCTTTCTCTCTCTCTCTCTCTCTCTCTCTCTCTCTCTCTCTCTCTCTCTACCTCGTCCCTGAGCTCCTCCCAGCTCTATATTAGAACCAGCTGTGGAGTTTGAGGCTGAATGAATGGCTCTTTGTGATTTGGCTGTCACTCCTGTATAAGGCTCTGTTTCTTTCTCCCTCTAGAAACTGGCATGACAAAAGTGTTGGAACAATGTAACCTAATGTTCCCTCTTTGACATTGTTACTCCATAAAATCATATCAATTCACCACTAAAACTGCAGAAATGCATCTATGGGATGTTGGGCTTTAGAGGAACTTGCACTTGATTCTTCGCACTGAGTACATTTACATGGACAACAATAATCCGATATTAATACGATTAAGACAATATCTGATTAAGAATCTACCATGTAAACAGAGATTTTTGATTACCTTAATCCGGCTAAAGTCATATTCGAAGTAAACAGAAATCGAATTAAGACATGTGGAGTATTCCTATTTTAGTCACATTACTGAAGTGCAGAATAGACATGTAAACACTTTAATCACATTATTACCGTTGCGTCGTGTAGGACTTTACGCCGCATTTTTGCGACAGGATACACACACGGCAGTGGTCAACCGTTTGACGGCAAATAAAAGAGCTTCAACACCACCATCGTCTGAGTGCACGTACAAATAATTAACTGCACTTAAAAGGTTAGTTCACCCAAAAATGAAATTAGGCTGCGTTTTACTCAACCCCGAGGCATCCTAGGTGTATATGACTTTCTTCTTCCAGACGAATCCAGTCGGAGTTCTATTAAAAATTGTCTTTGATCTTTCAAGCTGTTTCATGGCACTCAACGGGTGCTGCATTCCTTCAGTCCAAAAGACGTGAAATAAAAAGCTCCCTTTCATAAAAAAAAGTGTCTCACACGGCTCCGGGGGGTGAACAAAGGCCTCCTGTAGCGAATTGATGCGTTTTTGTAAGAAAAATATCCATATTCAAAACGTAATAATCACTTTAATCTAGCTTGCGCTCACTGTTGTACGCTGGAAGCAGTTCCGGGCTGATGACGTATGAGGTCGGCTTTGCGCATGTATGAACATGCATAGGCAAAAACAATTGATTTTTTTTTTAAATCACCAACACATTTTTAGTTTTCAGAATTTTTTTTTACCAAAATTTGAAAGATAATTCTCAACTATGTTATAACAGAATGATTTGATATACCATTTTTCTTTATGCAAAATGTGTGTAAAATGGCCATAAACAGGTTTTCTCATTGTATATAATGTAACTATAAACTAAATGTAATTTGCATATTAATGTGTTTTTGGGGCAACATGTAATGAAAAAAGAAGTGTTATAATGGGAGTAATAATTGACAAGATTTTCATAATAATATATAATATTTCATAATAATATTGAAATATAATTTCTTTCCCTATTAATTTGTTGTGTCTCCCAAAATGCGTAATAAACATGCTTTTAGTCCCGGTGTCCTCATATGAGGACATGTATGAAATCAACGTCCTGTTTCATAACAGAAAGTCATATTTTGATTTGAAACCACATAACATTTTCCTGAGATGTTGATTTATGACACAGTTTAAAATGTAGTCCGATTTAAATGATAATTACATAATATTATCATATTTCCATAAGAGTGTCACTAAATTAATATCAGACATATTTGAAGACCAAGGAGAGTGAGTGGTCATGGTGAAACATCCAAACATTTGGTATCTCTGAAAAGACCTGAATGTGCTCTGTACAGGACATTTAGACTTAAAACTGTGGCATGTATAGTCTCAGAGAAATTCACTAAAATATCATGTCCTCATATGAGGATGCAGGGTCTCAGGAGGTTAAGAGGATAATTTTCCAATCATGCAGACTTTTAACCACAAAGTCACTTGAACCCTGCTCTTGAGGAAGTCTTTGAGGTGTAGGAGTGTTTGTGAAGGTCCTCGATGTTCTGGAATGTTTCTGGATGCCGTCTGGTGTCCGGCAGGGTGTGTCCGTTTCTCTGGGTTTAGGCGGGTGACTCAGTAGAACTCCGGACCAAAAAATATTACTTACAGTGCAGAGCTTTCCCAGGCTTGGGACGATTTGCCAAGTAACATGTTGTTGTGGTTGAGGGAGATGAGGGGTGTGTTGTGGTGGTAAGCAATGATGATAGAGAACCAAGACAAATTAGTCTCTCACAGAATAGTCTGTTTTGGATCAACAGTCATGAGGAGTGGCTTCTCTGGGTCTTGAGATGACAGCGAACGTCTAAAATGAAGGGTGCGACCGACATCATATAAAGAATCTGCCAATGTTAGTCATAATTTGAGCAGTTCTGTAAATAATTCATCTTTCCCCCCCCCCCCCCCCCCCCCCTTTAGGATTTTGGTGGCACTCATAAGAGAGTCGAAGGAATCGAAAGAGGAGAGCGAGGAGGTTGGGGAAGAGAGACCATCATTTCAGCACAGTGAGTTATTTAACTCTGACTGCTATCTTTAGACAAGATACAAATTACTCAAGTGGTTCTCTTGAGTTTAAGGAGTCAATTTATTCCTTGTTCGTAGATAAGCATCCCAAATTCCACGTCATAGCCAAGAAAAATAAAGCAGCTTGTTGAAACGGACCTTGAGTTTCACACAGTGATAAAGAGACCTTTGAACATCATCATCAAAACTAAATACCCCTTAATGTTTATCCGTTCCTCAGAAAGCTCGCTTGAGTTAAACGAATGACCAGACATTTTCCTTGACATGTTTTCATAATATGAAACAAGCTTTGAGGAATTCAGTTTTCCTGACTCCACAAGCATGGCGAATTTACTCCTACTGAGTAGACCGATATAAGACTTGCTAATCTTAATAATGTGGTGGTGGGTGTAGGACACCCTGGAGGCAGGAGATGTCAACTTCCGCTGCTCTGGAATGTAAAGCGAGGGAAGTTGGGCGAGAGGTATGGAGAGAGGGGCATGGGTTTATGGCAAAGCATTCCTACCGGAGGAGGGTACAGACTGGCTGTACTGGTCAAAGGTCTGCTGCAGGGTGCTGCCGGAGAGGGGCACACTGTGCTCTGTTCACTGTCATCTCAATGGGACACTGTTTATGAGCAGACAAAGAGCGAGGAAGCACGCATGCCTTTGCACAGTAGTGACCGGTGCAGCCCTGTTCTTCAGCAGGAGAGGGTGGATGTGGTGGGTTGGAGAAGGGGATTGTTCGGGAGCATAAGGCACAGCACTGAAATGACAAGAGTCAGGAAACTAGGTTTCCACATTTACTGTAATATGAGTGGCACTGTGTGATTGGTTTCCAGGGTATTGCTATGTTGTTGCTAAGGTGTTGAAAGGGGGTTGAAGTGTGTCGCTCGCTGTGCAGTGTTTTGGATGGATATTGATGTACGGCTGCTGTTTTGAGTAATTTTAGCATGTTGCTATATATACTACGGCTGGACAATTAATTGAAATAAAATATAAATTGTGGTATGCTAAGTGTGATTTTCAAATCGCAAAGGTTGTGATTAAATTAAATATATGTACAGCGCATTTCGGAGCTATGCATGAAATTTTCATTTACACTTGAGCAGTTTATTTTTATGTAGAGTGAAATAGCATTATTACAATAGAAATGTATCTTATTTTGTTTAATATATTTGAAGAGTTCATTTGCAAAAACCAATAACTCAGAAATCACGTTTTTTTATTGCGCATTCCAAATAATATAAATCAAACTGCAGTTGGGTTGTTTTGCTGAAGTAATAATAACTTAAACAAATACAGGTAATTTACAAAATTAAAGTTCATTGAAAGTATGTTTTTTTAAATATTAAAAGTTTGTTTTATAGCAAAAGCAGATAACTCCAACAGTCGTTTTTTGGCAAAAGCAGATAACTCCACATTTCATGTTTTAGAGTTTAAAAAAACACTCGTTTAATCTTTGTAATCTCCTCCGATGACAATGTAGATGCCTGACAAACGTTGTTGTTGTTGTGATCATAAACTGTATGGCTGTGATTCCACAAAATACACAGAGCTTTTCCCTCACCATTGTAACGCGCTGCTTTTGCAAGGTTCCGTGAAAACGTTTCAGCTTTTATTTTCCTTTTTTGCCCTGAAGAAGATATCACAGGTTCATCAAGTTTGTCGAAATTATCCATCCTTGATTACTTTTAGTCAGCTTTGATGAAACTCCTCTCAGCTAGCACGTCTTTTCAAAGTGAAAGTAGCCTTGTCACCTGACCTGAACACTAAATAAACTAGATTCACTAAAATGGACTTATCGGCTTCTGTTCAAAAACAACAAGGGCGCTTGTCGGCTTCTGCAGTAAAAACGTGAACTCGCGATGCCTTGAAAGTGGACAAAACCTGCTTTTTTTGACAAAACATGTTTAGGGTTCAGATCGCGCTATATGTGGAGAATAATGCACGGCAATCAGCTCTTTTTTTTTTAAAGTGGCTTTTATCGGTTTTTGCAAATGAACTCTTCATTTATTTAATAATAATATTATTAATAATCACAATAAAGAAAAAATAATAATAACTATTATTCATAAACTGATATATAATCACAAAATTTTGGTCAAATTGAACAGCCCTGCATAAAAAAACAAACACAGCAAACATGGAGCTCTTTAAAAAAAATGCTTGGACAAGTTCTTTTTTTTTTTTTCATAATTAGCTTGCTCCCCTTTAAAATACACGTTAATATATTTTATTCTTTGTAATGTCTTCAGAATGTTGAAATAAATCTTTTTATTTTTTAATCACATTGTAAATCACAATAACAGTTTTTATTAGAAAAATCGTGATCAAATTGTCTCCCCAAATCATGCAGCCCTAATGCTTGGGCATTCTGAATGATTGCTATGTGGTTGAGGAAATGTTCAGAGTGTTTTTTAGCATGTTTCTATGCAGTTACTAGGCTATTCTGAATGGTTGCTAGGTGTTGCTTGGTCGACGAAAGCATGGAATATTGGTCTTTAGATATGAGTGCATATGAGTGCTTTTTTTGCCTGATCTATAAGTTGACGGGAAAGTCGTAAGTAGGTTATGGCCGCTAATTAAACAAACAGTGCAGTACAAATGATAAAGGATGAGTTGCACACTAAAGTTTAACACATAAGAGTTTGTTCAAATCTTGACCCTAAATATGAACAACAATAATAGAAATGTTAGAATAATAGTAGAGCAGAGAAATAAGAGAGACCGAGAGATGTGTTTGAGGAAAGCAAGGGTGTTTGTGACACTGTGAGAGAGACAGGACAGTTGTGTTGTTGCTTAAGGCTGGATGTTTGTCATGCTGTGTGCTTTTACTGGAGTCTCTAATTATGGCACATCAGCCATCCCCCTGTCAACAGTCTTCACAGCACTGACGCTCCAATTTTCACACACACAAACACAAATGTGTGTGTTAGCGCTCATAGTAACACTTCTCATGCGTACTCAACATTCATCTGTGGCTGTGGCAGGGGAATAAAAAACCCACTAATTAAGATAATGTTGACTTAAGCAGCTCGGC